ACACGTCGTTTCTAGTAAGCCCGGCCAGTTCTCGTTTCCCAACCAAGGCTCCCCCACACACCCATCGGTCCTCGGGGATCACGTGTCGTATCTCCGGCGGTCCCTCTCCTTCCATGTACTCCGGCTTCCGGGAGAGAGCATCTGCTCTTACGTTTTCCTCTCCTGGCACGTATCGGATCTCGAAGGAAAACTTGGAGAACTCCTGTGCCCATCGAATCTGTCTCTGGTTGAGTACTCGTGCGGTCCTCCAGTATTCCAAGTTCTTGTGATCAGTACAAACCTGGATCTTGTGCTGCGCCCCTATTAGCAGATGTCTCCATCGGCGAAACGCCGCATAGATCGCAAGCAGTTCGCGGTCATACACCGTATAGTTTTGCTCCGACTTGCTCAGCTTCCTCGAGAAAAAGGCACACGGCTTCCATTCCTGCTTGCTCCTCCCTGGCTGCAAAAGAACCGCCCCAATGGCTCTGTCGGACGCGTCGGTCTCTAGCCTCATGGGTTTCTCCAGATCAACGTGCAGGAGCTGCTCTTCCGAAGCGAACGCCTTCTTCAGTCTTTCAAAGGATTGCTGGGCACTTTCTGTCCAGACGAACTTCTTTTTGCTACTGAGACAATCTGTGATGGGCGCTGTCAAGTGGGCGAAGTTCTTGATGAACTTCCTGTAGAAGTTGCTGAACCCTAGGAACCTCTGCACGTCCTTCCGGGTTTTGGGGGCCTTCCATTCCAGCACCGCCTGCACCTTGCTTGGGTCCATAGCTAGGCCTTTGTCTGACAACTTGTACCCCAGAAACTCGACTTCTCTGGCGTGAAACTGACATTTTTCCAGCTTGACCCACAACTGGTGCTTCTGCAGTCTCTTTAGCACTTCCCTGACGTCTCTGACATGTTGCTTCTCATTGTCCGAATAGATTAAGACGTCGTCCAAGAAGGCTACGCAGTTCTTGTACAGCAGGGACCCCAACACGTGGTGCATGAAAGCTTGAAAACAGGCGGAGCCTGACTGTAATCCAAATGGCATAACTAAGTACTCAAAGGCCCCCAGGGGTGTGAACATTGTGGTCTTCCATTCGTCCCCCTCCCTCATCCTAATCAAATTGTATGCTCCCCTGAGGTCCAGCTTGGTAAAAAATTTCCCCTGCCTCACCCGTGTTAAAATGTCGTCAATCCTGGGCATTGGGAAGGTCACGGGTTCTGACACCAGGTTGACGGCCCGGTAGTCCACAACGAGCCTGGGTTGATTAGTATCTTTTTTGTCCACAAAGAACACCGGACTGCCCCCCACCGCCTTTGATTCTCTTATGAAACCTCTTTTCAGGTTCTTGTCAATAAATTCCCGCAACTCCTTCATCTCCCTGTCCGACATGGTATACAGTTTACCCACCGGCAGCTGCGCCCCTGGGAGCAAGTTGATTTGGCAGTCAAAGGGCCTATGGGGGGGTAGTCTATCCGCCTCCTTCTCGCTGAAGACCTCCTGCAGGTCAGCATATTGTGGTGGCACCTCCCCTTCGGCTCCACAGCTATCCCAGCCACCCTGGCCACGGTCATCCTTGGGGTTTCCCCCCCAGACAGTGTTCCAAGCAGTAAGCTGACCCAAAGGTGACCGTCCGCTGATGCCATGCCACTACTGGATCATGTAGTGCCAGCCAGCTCATCCCTAATATTATTGGGGGTCCTGCCAGTGTGGCTACGTGAAAGGCAATGGTCTCCGTGTGCCTGGAAACCCTCATTCTCATTGGTGGGGTCTGGTGCGTCACTTCCCCTCCCAGAAGCTCCCTGCCATCAATGGTGGTCACTTGCAAGGGAAAATCCAGGGGCAGCAGGTGGAGCTGGTGCTCTAGGGCGAAGTCCTTGCTGAAGAAATTGCAGGAACTGCCTGAATCCAACAGCCCCTTCACCTTGACTGGGTGCCCATTCGGGAGTTCTAGCACCACTTCTATGGCTATAGCCGCCCTGGGGGGGGTCTGGCTGGGGCACTTCTATTGGTTGCTGGCCTGGCTGCTGTGCCCGCTGAGTGGCAGCCAAGCGTTGGCGTTTCCCTGCTCCTGCCCCTTTCCCCCCTCCTCCTCACCGCCAGCAGCTCCCACCATCCCTTGCCAGGCCTTTCTTTGAGGGCAGACCCTGGCAAAATGTCCTGGCCGCTGGCAGAGGAAACACTTCTTGGTGGTTTTCCAATCCTTTCCCTCCCTCTTGCGACCTTCACTGGAGTTTGAAACCTCCCGCGCACGCGCGCCATCTATTTCCATTGGCTCCGCCGGCGGGGAAGGCTGCCTCGGTATTTCAGGAATACGGTAGTCATGGCAACGTTCCCCTCTCCCTTCGCGCTTCTCCTGAGCCCGCGCTTCCTGTCTTACGCCAATCGCAAGCACAGCCTTGGTCAGCTGATCCATCGACTGTGGGCGTGGCGCGCGGGAAAGCTCGTCCTTCACCGTTGGGGACAACCCCTCCTCAAACAACATCTGAATGGGTTCAGAGTCCAATTCCCACCCGAGTCGGTGGACTAACATTGCAAAGCGTGACCAGTAGTCTCTAACTGACTGGTTCCCCTGTTTGCACCCCATCAGTTCCCGCCGAGTCACACTTTGCTGCACGTCACTGGAATACATCACATCCATCACCTGGAAGAATTTCCTCAGGTCTTTCAAGGCGGCATTTTGCGTTGCCATTAGGGGCCTGATCCATTCCCTGGCCCCATCCTGCAGATGCCCGACAATATAGGCCACCCTCTCCCCATCGTCCGCAAAATCCTTATGCTGCAGTTCCAAAGCGTACTCTATTTCCGTTCGGAACGCGTTGTAGTCCTGGGGCTTCCCCCCAAACTTGTGTACCAGTCCCGGTACCTTCCTTGCTACGGGGGTGGGTCTGACCTGTGCATCGTGAGCCCGCCTTTCTTCCAACCGCGCCGTCAGAAGAGCCACATGCTGTTCCAAATCTCGGTTCCTCTCCACCAGATTTTGCACTCCAGCTGCTCCCTCCGTGGCGCCGGCTTCTCCGGTTTGGCTCATTATGCTGCCTGCCTGTCGCTGCGCACAAGCAACGTCAGTGACTGATGGATTGCTGTAATAAATATAGGGGTTGCTCGTGCGTAAGTTGCCGCCACTCCTGGCTAGGTTGCCTTGTTAAACCTTTTCTGTCTGGACAGCCCTTCACTTCGTGGCTGTTTCAGTCGCTAGCAGAATCCGTCAGTGGGCGTTTCTTAAACCTTTTCCAGCATAAAAGCTGTTTGACGCCAAGTCTCCTCCTACTCTCCCTGCGCGGAAGTCTTCTGCGCAGGGAGGGTGTGGGTAGCGGAGGACCCGTGTTCTCCCCGCTGGTCTCCGGCGAGGAGTCCTGAAGCCCCCTCGCGGATTCCCCCATCTGCCCCCCTTTATCCCTGGTGTTACGCTGATTTCCTTCCCCAGCTGATGAGCTGCCTCTCTCCCTGCTGGGCCCTTCTCCAGCATCGCTTGAGAGCCTAGCCTCCGCCTCTGGCTCCGATGTCAGTTCCCTGACAAGTATTGAATTATGTTGGTATTTATCTAGTCATTTTAGTGGTGAAATTGGCTAATTTAATTTTTGTGTTTTGTGAAGCTCTCTGAACATCTCCCTTTGGTTCGGAGAAAATGAAGAGAGATTGTTGTGTAAGTAAATCTTCTTAAGAATGTCAGGGGCTCTGTCTTCTGCATTCTCAGTTATCTTTCCTCTACTAGAATCCTGCATAAACCATGTGAAAATATGGCCACCCATATATATATTTGATTAGGCCAACATTTTGGTAAGATAAAAAACTTATCATAAAAGATGACATGAAAATCAATGAGAGTTTGGATAAAATGACTGAAAGAAAAATCTGTTGGCCTTTCCTTCAATTATTTCCCAATCATCTTTGAAATAAGTTTTTGTATGACAGCATAGCTCATTTTAAAATGCACTTGAAGCTGAATTTTGATGCAAAGTTGTGTATGTTTAGCCTGGAGAAGAGGAGAGTGAGAGGTAATACGTGAGCCATCTTCAAGTATCTCAAGGGCTGTCAGATGGAAGAAGAAGAAGAGAAGAAGAGTTTGGATTTGATATCCCGCTTTATCACTACCCGAAGGAGTCTCAAAGCGGCTAACATTCTCCTTTCCCTTCCTCCCCCACAACAAACATTCTGTGAGGTGAGAGAGGCTGAGAGACTTCAGAGAAGTGTGACTAGCCCAAGGTCACCCAGCAGCTGCATGTGGAGGAGCGGAGACGCAAACCTGGTTCCCCAGATTACTAGACTACCGCTCTTAACCACTACACCACACTGGCTCCCATGGAAGATGGTGCATGCTTGTTTTCTCCTGCCCTGGAGGGTAGGACCCAAACCAATGGATTCAAGTTAAAAGAAAAGAGATTCCAACTAAACACCAGGAAGAACTTTCTGATGGTGAGAGCTGTTCAACAATGGAAAAGATTCCCACAAGAGATGGCATACTCGCCTTCCTTGGAGGTTTTTAAGCAGAGGTTGGATGGCCATCAGCCATGGATGCTTTAGTTGAGATTCCTCACTGCAGGGGGTTGGATTAGATCAGGCATAGGCAAACTCTGCCCTCCAGATTTTTGGGACTACAACTCTCATCATCCCTAGCTAACAGGACCAGTGGTCAAGGATGCTGGGAGTTGTAGTCCCAAAACATCTGGAAGGCCAAGTTTGCCTATGCCTGGATTAGATGATCCTCAGGGTCCCTTCCGACCCTACAATTCTATGTACACTACAATTCACTCAGTATATCAGTTTTTATAAATCCCAGTCCAAGCACAATTCAAGGCATATTAATTGAGCATACCAGTAGATTTTGGGCTGCTGAAATTCAATTCCGTTGTATTGGCTTAAATCAGAGATGGAGAACATCTGGCCTGCAAATGTAATCTAGCTCATCAAACCTCTGAATCTACTGCCAGCAAGCTCCCTAGGCTATCTCATTCTACCTAGCTCTACCCTTTAAAAATATGAATAAATCTGAGCAGTTCACAAACCATATTCAATGCAACAGAAAAACTTTTTTTTTCTAAAAAGAATAATTTATTAAGGGGGGTAAAAAGCATTGTTTAAACAGTCTGAATAGAGGTGGCCTTCTGAATTGTCCGTCTCCTCGGGCTCAAAGTCATCAGGGTCTTGCGCTAACTGGTCCGTGTCTTCGTCTGAAGTGGAAGGGCGTGTTAGGATGATTCGAGGTATCTTGGATACAGTAAAAGAATGCAGGGAAGGGGGTAGGGAAGAGAAATGAATTGCACAAGAGAATCTAGAAGCTAACATTCGTTTGCTGCCAAGAACTCTCCTCTGACACAGATCTCCCTTGCAAATTTTAATGTCATGCATTTTCCAGATATTCTCTGAATGCTTAACTGTTCCCCAAATGTTGGATAGCTTAGGAATAGTCTATTCTCATATCCTTCTTCCTCAGATTGGAAGGAGAGGCCCACCTACAGTGGAAATATGGCTGGGGTAGGACCCGAGAGGGTCTGTGCTCAGATTATATATGGGGTTTTGATGGATGGTTTTATATTGCTGGGTTTTTTCATTCTATTTTTTAGAATGTATGCTTTCGAGCACAATTCAAAGTGTTGGTGCTGACCTTTAAAGTCCTAAATGGCCTTGGCCCACCCCCATTGTTCAGCCCAAACACAGGACCAGCTCCGAGGGCCTTCTGGTGGTTCCCTCAGCACAAGAAGCGAAGTTACAGGGAACCAAGAAGATGGCCTTCATCCTGTGGAATGCCGTCCCATCAGATGTCAAGGAAATAAACAACTATATGATTTTTAGAAGACACCTGAAGGCAAACCTGTATAGGGAATATTTTAAAGTTTGATGTTTTATTGTGTTTTTATATTTTGCTGGAAGCTGCCCAGAGTGGCTGAGGCAACCCAGTCAGATGGGCGACATATAAATAATGAAATTGTTATTGTTATTGTTACTACTACTACTACTACTACTACTAGAAAGTTACAAGACACCTTGAGTGGTGATTTCCAGGTCATGCAGCCAGCATGACTAAACCACTTCTGGCATACAGAACACTGTGACAAGTGCCAAAGCGCATGGAAACGCTGTTTACCTTCCCACTGCAGCAGTACCTATTTATCTACTCTTGCTGATATGCTTTTGAACTGCTAGGTTGGCAGGAGCTCACCCCGTCATGTGGATTCAAACTCCCAACATTACGATCAGCAAGTCCAAGAGGCTCGGCGGATTAGACCACAGCGCCACAGCGATCCCTTTCAGGATCTGTATTATTTGCAGAAACTGCCTACAACATCCATCCTCTATCTCTTTCTCTCTTGTGGTTTTCTCAGTAACCAGAGGGACATTGGATTGATATTACTGATATTTAATACTGTCTCTCTAAATGTAAAGAACCAATAATTTTCAGCATTTACTGCATTTTTTATTAGAATGGTTTAGGCATTAGGGTATACAGTCGTACTTTGGAAGTTGTATGGAATCCGTTCTGGAAGTCCATTCGACTTCCAAAACATTCAGAAACCAAGGCGTGGCTTCTGATTGGCTGCAGGAAGTTCCTGCAGGCATTCAGGATCCAAGATACGACTGTATTAATATTTGCTAATCTACTAATATAAATCAGAATTAAAGTTAGAGAAGATTTGAGCTGTTTTGCTAAACTATTAAGTGCTGAAGCAAGTATTTTAATGCTATTGCAACAGGGCATATTTCCATTTTTTTCTGGAGAAGAGCTGTGTGCCTGAAGGATTTTCCACACTACTATCTATTCAACTGTTTTACTTTAAATTTGTTCCTATGGTTTTTTGCGGGGGTGGGAGAAGAAGCAGAATGGTAACTAATTCTAACTATTGGTAAATAGTATTCATTCTCCAAAGTCGATGATGCATTTGAAACCTTCTGACAAGAGCCCAGGCTAACACTGACATCTGGTGGGTTGTTTTTAATTCAGTAAAAGAACCAGACAGATAACTTACCATTCAGGGGTAGGTGGGTATAAATAAAAAGAACAGGGATTTTTTTTTTCTGGGGAGGGGAGATTAAGCTATATTTTACCAAAACATAATAGTAACACCTCTTCAGACACTATTAATGCATAAATATCTTCCTCCATCATTACTTACTGTTATAACATGATTTACTGTCTGGAATGGTCCACTTTTGGATGGCATCTCAACAGGGCCAGAATCAGGTGTGCTGGGTTCTGATATAAGGGCATCCTTAAAAAGAAAAAGAAGAAAAATAGCCAATTCACTTTTCAGGCATTATTAAAACAGGTGAGGAAACCTGGAACCATAATGTTTATTCAACAAGTGAAAAAAGCACCTCTCTCTCTCTCTCTCTCTCTCTCTCTCTCTGCCATTATTTACTCAAAGAATTTCTTACCCACTCTTCATTATTGAAAGTCACCTCAGAATAAGTTACAGTAGAAACGTTACAGACCAGAGACGTCATGAAAGGACAAAATAAATAGAGGTACAGCCCATAACCTAACAACCAACAACTGAAGCATGCCACCAGATTCATCTAAAGGTCTGGGTGAAAAGTTAAGTCTTCGGCAGCACTGGACTTAGGTTCATAATATTATTATTAGCATTGGCATTTTAGTCACCTTTTTTGTTTACAAAAAAGTAACCAAGAGCAACTTACAATTGAAAATTTTCTCACAGAAGAAGAGAGCAATTTTCTTTCAGTACAGGCCATCTGCTAAAATACACTGCTGAAAGAGGGTAGGCCACAACTAATGAGCTTAATTCAGTATTAAAGGTAAAGGTAAAGGTACCCCTGCCCATACGGGCCAGTCGTGTCCCATCTCACTTAAGAGGCCGAGGGCCAGCGCTGTCCGGAGACATTTCCGGGTCCCGTGGCCAGCGTGACGAAGCTGCTCTGGCGAGCCGGCACCAGCGCAGCACACGGAAATGCCAATTCAGTATTAAGTGACCTTTAATAACCCACCTAACCTACCTTGCAGTCCAGGAGAGCATTTCATAAAGTGAAATATGAAAGCAAAGACTCTATACCTCCGCAACTTTGTCTTCGGATTGTACCCCAGCCAAGTCAAGTGGGCCATCTTTGGACACATGTGCTATTAAGATTCCCTGGGGAGAAATAAGACATTTCAGACCTGGGAGTTTATTTTGCTAACTATGCATTACTAAGCGCATAGGGAGAAAAAAAACTGCCTTAAAAATTATACGGACACCAGTTATTTTGGTGGGCACAAAAACAAAAATTGAAGCCAGCCTTTCCGGGCTAGTAAGATCAAACCAAAAATTCACTTGGGAGAGAAGAGGGCCAGAATCAGGTGTGCTGGGTTGGGAAGAGATTTGAGACCATGAACAGAAATGTTTTTGTGGCATGATGACACGGAGACACTGCCCCAAGAGCAAGGAGCAATTGTGAAATGAACAGGTGTGATACTTGCATTAGCATAGAAGCAAGTAGAGTCACCTTGAATCAAGGTGGGAAATGATACTGGTAATGGCATTTCCAACATATGGGCTTTGTATACAAACAAACAAACAATCAAATATTATTTTAGTCATCCCTCAAGAAGTTGAAATTCATGTGATTATTCTGAGGTTCAGCATAAGCTAATCTTTCTGCTTTTCTTATTAAGACAGGCTGCCATGTAATGACTTCCAACGAGACAATGGCAAGACAGGAGGACGACTGTTTTGGTCTCTCACAACAAAGAATTAGTAGTTGGAAAATGTGTGAGTAATGAAATGCACCTCATCATTTTCTTTACATGAAGATGAGCCCTTTCCACCAGCAATGCTAATACCAAGACTCCCCATTTGACTGCACACAGTAATCGTTATCTGGAAGAGAATTGTAGTTCATATTGAATACGCAGTTAACAAGCAAACACAACACTTATTCATTCTTATTAGACAAGCAACAAGTAATGAAACTCATGCACGACACACACACATGGAAAATGCTGTTTCGTTCAAAATGAACAGAGATCTCAGCAGTGCCTGTGCTGCAGTAATTACCTTTTTAAACGTGGTAGCACAGAACCGGAAGAATACTTAAACAACATAAATGGCAGCCCCATTAAATAAATTCTAAGATATATTTGTTTATGACTCCTGGAAGACGGAAGTTATTGAGGAAGTGCGAAGGAATTGGAGACAACCCCAGCAGATTCACCCAAACCCTCCAGCATTGACCCTCCCACCTGTTCTCCCTCCAGTTTCCTCCATCTTGTGATCTGGGATGCAATGCAATGGAACCTGTATCAACTGTCAACACAAATTGCATTGTGACAGCTTAATTTTGGGATGGCATAATGAATGATGGCAGTCTGGATTCAGAATTAGTCATCAGGGCTATGGATTTCAACGGTTCTGCATCAAGCAGGGCAGTCTGGATCCAACCCCATATTATTAGTTAGCCTCTTAATTTAACAATAAGTTAAAATGAATTATGCCATTAGGCAGTACAAAGTAGTATACCATTAGGTGCTCAAAACACAACATTTACACAGGGGTCCCTTTACCTTTACCTAATGTAAAAAAAATAAATCCTTTTAATGATCAAAGCCAGCTTCAATTTTAAAAAATGCATTGTTTGACCAAGAAGCTGTCAAATTATTCCTTTGCATAAGTTTAAAGCGCAGATTTCTAGCACTCACGTCTCTAACAATTATTTTTAATAGTTTACATCTATCTTGTCTGTTTAGAAAATGTAATTAGTGAAAGCATAAGACAAGTCACAATTTCTGGGACGTTAATCCATGAATATTTTTCCTTAATTTAGTCAACAACACAATCCTCTACAGATCTACTCCAAAGAAGTCCCAGTGGGGCTTGCTTCAAGGGATGTGGCTATAGGATGCAGTTTAAAATAAGCTTTGGGTTCTCAGCCTTCTTCTTCTTTACCTCCACTTAGAAAGAGTGCCTTTCCCTCACACACATTGCCTTGTATAAAAGTAACTGAGAGCGTGGGCCTACTTTAGGGACCTAGGAATGTAAAGGTAAAGGGACCCCTGACCATTAGGTCCAGTTACGGACGACTCTGGGGTTGCAGCGCTCATCTCACTTTATTGGCCGAGGAAGCCGGCATACAGTTTCTGGGTCATGTGGCCAGCATGACTAAGCCGCTTCTGGCGAACCAGAGCAGCGCACGGAAACACCGTTTACCTTCCCGCCGGAGCGGGAGCTAATGAATACAGACTGTTCCATTTATTAGCATTCCATTCTAGAAAGCAGAACCAAGAGGCAAATGCTTCTTCTTGCTCATGGGTTACCTTCAAGGGTGACTGTGTTGTATCTGCAGCTCCTGGGATCTGCTCCTTGCTTTCCTTTGAAAACCTGTTGCCATCCGTCGGGAAGCTGTTTGCAGCTGCAACTGGAACCTGTGGTTTGCTGTTGGCCACTGGGAAGGGTTTTGACTTGGTTGCCACTTTTTGCCTTTCCTGTTGAAAAGTGACTCTAGCATTTCTTTGATCTCGAAGGTTGTCTCCAGAGTCAAAGAGACTCCCAGAGAATTTGGATATAGGCTCCTGTGCAAATTTAACCAAACAAACAAACAAACAAACAAACAAACAAACCATGGCTTAGCTTTATGTGTGAACCAGACCACAGTAAATGTGAAAAGGCACGAAAGGCAGACAGAGCTGCTTGTGTAGCTTCACTCTCACTTCTGAAGGTACAGCCAGGATTATATGTTTTCCACAAATCCAGAGAATCTCAGCTCAAGCTCTGAAATCAACAGTTTCTGACAGCAACTCAGATGTCTATGTGCAAATTTACATTGCTGTGAAAATCCCAAGATTATCAGTCAACAGTGAGGATTGGCATTGTACAGTTCATCCTGTGAAAATCTGAAGAACAAAATTGTCTGTTCTGGACATACACTAGGGATAGCTGATATATGTCAAAATAAACTAGTGAATTTTACTCAGCATAGACCCATTGAAATTATGAACATAAGTTAGGTCCATTAATTTCAATGTGTAAAATTTAGATGAATACCACCCAGTTTCTCTCACACACCAAAGCCTCTATTTCCTGTTCCAGAATCTCTTGTTCTTTTGCCCTTCAAACTTTTCATTATTTTTTCAGCTACTTCTGATATGCAGCAATCATGTAAATGAGTATTGGACTGATTTCAATGAGTTCAAGGGCTATCATACTGCTAGAAAATCTGTGAATGTTATTACTTCCTAATAACATTCAGAATCTACAACATTAGCCAGCATAATTTCTTTTTTCTCTCCTTGGTTCTTTTCTTTGATTTCCTCAAGCCTGAATATGGCTGCAGGAGGGTGCAGAATATCTTTTGCTGGATTGGCACTTACATCCTCATCAGGATCCTCCAGCTCCTCAGCTTCTTGTTCGGGGCTGATCCGCCCTTCCTTCCATTTTTCATTGGACGAGTTGAATTTGTACAGACTGCACCCTTGGACATTCTCCTTTCCCTTCAAAGAGCCCCAGCGAGAACCCTGGGAATTCCAGTTATGACTGCCATGTAGCTTAGGAGACTTGGGAAGCCATTTGACAGAGTCCTGCATGGAAGAGCAAAAGCACAAGAGTTTAATTCAGTACAGAGTTCAGGCACTCAAAAAGGATGCCTGCTAATTGGACACAAGCTAGAACAGATGACTTCAAGTTTGCCAGGCATCCAGTCAAGCACAGGCTTATCAGGTGTGTTGCTAAGTCAGCCAGTCATTGGCTGTGGGAAATGAATGGAGTCACTATCTGATGACAAAAAGGTTGGACAATAGTGAGCAACTTAGAAGATGCTGTTGCCTGCCAGAACAATAGGAGGCAGGGGAACACACACAGACATGCACTTTCATCAGTAGCTATTGGTAAACTCTTATTTTGTTGGACAGAGAGATGCCATGCAGAGATGAGACTATCCAGTAACTTGGGCTATCTGCCCCATCTCAAGGCTTGTTTACCCTACTCTTCCCATGTGCTCTATCCCTCCCCATCATTCACACAATGCATAAATGGAAACATAAGTTTGGATGTTTCTATCCACAATATGTGAAAAGGGGGTGCGGGTTGCAGTGGCATGGATGAGCTCAAGGGAACTACAACACACCTTCCCAGATGCAGACATGTCAGTCTTCCTGTCCCCAAGGAGACACCTGATCTTAAAACCAATCTACCAAATTTGTCAAAGTTTCATCTTAAATGTTTTGATACTTCCGGCAATCAAACTGTACAAGAGCTATGGACTTTGCAACAAAGCTCAGCTTCTTCACAAGCCTCTTGAACCTTTATTAGCCTTACAGGACTGATTAGATCAAAAAGAGTTGAAAAAGTAACTTCTAAGTTACTTTTGCCTCTGATAACAAATGTGCTTGGAAATTCATAAGAAACACCTGCTATCAAGGGGCTTATCAACTATGGTAGACTTAATAGTCTATTGGGCCATATCTGGTGCCATTCGTGATGACTGCCTAAAACATCCAGATGATAAAGACTAAGGTAGAACAACATATTTCAGGAGCATTCATTTGTTTCTCCTCCTATAAAGCTCTGTACACCTTGGACCCATAACTTACACCTCATTTTGTCTTCCTGAGACTGAGTTAAGACCTCTGTATTAACAATACATGAGCCTTGTTCAAACAGCAGAGTGATAACTTCAGCATGTTACTTTTCTTTCTTTTTATCCACTCATAGTTCCTGGGAATGGGTGGGCTATAGAAAAAATCTAGGATATTTGGTAACTACAAGCAGTATTTAGGTGGTCTTAATCTCTATAAATAAGGCAAACACTCAGGAAATCCCCAGACTCGTGACAAGACAAAAAATGGCAAGCATATTCAAAGCAACAGCCCTTCCACTATCTTCACTGAGGACTGGATCAGATCATTAAATATCTTTAATTTATGCAAATTACATATTTATGCAACCTCTACACACAAACACATATGTACACATATGGGATGTGTAATTGTGTGATACACAAACAATGAATGGAACTTCCAGCAATGTGTCTGTTATGGCACCATCTAGTGGATTCTGTTGCAGGAAACAAACGCAACAGATTTTCCTAGTTCGTCTCCAATTGCTGGATCCTACGAAACATTTATTATCTCAGTAGCCACAGACAGTGGCATGGTGAAACACTTCCCACTAGGTAAGCAGACTCTAGTGCGAGTCAAAGGAATCTGTCTCTAGCCAACGTCTTCTAAAGAAAATGGACTGTTTGCCCACAGCAATTCAAGCCAAATGGGCTGACATAACAGAACACTTAGTTTAAACACACAAAATACATAAAAGGGGATTTGCGGGTTATTTTTCTGAGTACCTCTTTAAGTGTTTAAAAGATTCACACACTTCATGAAAAATCTGGTTCTTCAGCAGCTCTGTTCAGTACTAAGTAATTTACACTTCTAACGGCATTCACACAACTGATAGCAATGCAAGATCTTTGATGGTCCCTCTCTGGATTATTATATTTTCATTAATGGTTGGTTGACAGTAATAAATATTTTGATTGAATATTATGAGATATAGCTGAGAGAGGAACAGGGTTGGGGCAGAGACATGCAAAATCTTTTGGCAATGATGGGAGCAACACAGCCATCCCTGTGTTATGGCATCAGATTTTGTCAGGATAAGAGGAAATGTTTGATCAAGGAGTGGTGCTCAAGCAACTTTGGAGCTGGTTGAAGTAATCCGTTTATGAATTAAACTCAAGTTTGAGTTGGGAAAAACCAAATGAGATGCTCCAAAATGGCACCCGTGAAGAGATGGGTTCAACCACAAGACACAGCCGTTTCAGAAACCTACGCTGGTTACAAAGGAAGGAAATACCATCAGGCCCACAACTATGATATAGCAGGTGTAGCCTAATTCCTCCTCCACCACCATCCTCACCAGCAAGGCAGGAGCCCAGGCAGACAGGGTGCCTAAGCATGCCTGCTGACAGAACAAAAAGAGACTCAAAGGAACCAGTAACTACAAGCTTAAGGTGAGCTGTTGTTCAGGACCTAACCAGAACATACAGTCATCTCACAGCAGCAACAGAAATCACCATGATGAGAAACCTGGAAGCAAGCAAGCCAGCTGTTGAGCCAGCCAAGCAGAGTTTTCTTTCCCCTTACACAAGGCGAGGGAGAAGCCCTGTGATGGTTAGACACTGAGCCACAGGATGCTTATCCTTCATCAGGGCAAATGGTTCCCCTTTGCTTCCCAGTGCAGAGAAACAAGCCATCTGGCAAGCAAGCCGTGCTCCACAGTGTGCATGGAACCAATTGGCAAGCCCATGATCTGTATCATCAGACCAACTGGTAAAGAAAGTATGTTGCTATACCAGCTTAGAGATCTATGGAAGCAGGAGGTGGGTAAGGAGCCTCCTCATTGCTGCCGAGACAAACACAGATGATCAGTGCCAAGTGCTTTAACTAAACACTGTTGAAAGTTATTTAGCTAACAGGTATTAGGGAGAGACTGCAACCAAGACTGATGTGAGCCTTCAGGGCTAGGGAACATTTTTCAGCCTGAGGGCAACATTCCTTTCTGGGCAACATTCTGAGGGTCACAGTCCAGTGGTGAGGGGGTGGGCAGGTGGAAAAGTGTGTGGAGCAGCTGATGGCTATTTTACCTTTGTGCAGTAGTGTCATTTCTGCACACGCACACACACACACACACACACACACATCCAGACAAGCAAGAGGCATAATCAGATGCACATTCCAGTCAAGCAGAAAATCTAGGTTGTGAAGCAGTGAGTAAGTTCCAAGCATCAGATAAAGGCTGGAAGGGCTGCATTTGACTCTCAGGCCCGAGGTCCCCCACAGATGTGTTACAGTCATGGAAGCACAAAATGAGGGCTGTGATCGACAATCCCGATCTCCCGGGGTTCTCAACCGTGCAGGGAGCCTCCATGTGTAGCAAAGGCTCCCTGCTGTAGAAGCTACAGAAGAGCACAAGCAAGCTAGAGGGAGCCATGCAGCATGAGGAGCAGAAATAAGGCACACCCCTGCAACTCCTTCAGGGCTGTGAATCCCAAAGAGGGCTTCAGGGTAGGAAGCCGAGTCGGGCTCTTAGGTCCATCTAGTTCAGCCTTTCTCAACCTGTGGGTCCCCACAGCTAGCAAGGCCAGAGCTCAGGGATGATGGGAGTTGTACTCCAACAACATCTGGGGACCCACAGGTTGAGAAAGGCTGATCTAGTTCAATATCATCTACACTGGCTGACAGCAACTCTCCGGAGCTTCCAATAGGGTTATTTCCAAGCCCAGTGTGGGGTCTCTGGGGACTGGACCGAGGACCTTCTGCGTGTGCTCTGCCCACTGAGCTTTCTTTCCATAAAGGCCAGATTGTCGCCTCAATGTACATCAGGAGAGCCATACCTTGAAGCAGACAATGAAATCTGCAAGCAGAGGGTGAGAGCTTAGTGCATCAGATGGCAGAGTAGAACAAGGAACCACGAGCAAAAGCATCAGCCATCCAATACCATTGACGCATGATTTTAAGACATGATTTTAAGAAAAAGATATGCAAGAGGGGGACAGGGTCCCACAAGCTCAACCCCACACTCCCGCTGACATAATGTGTGGGGGAAATGAGTGGCGTTGGGCAGCTGCCAAAAATGCAAGGAGGTAGCTATAACGTCTCTCACCCTTTCATGTCCTGGTCTGGTTCGCCCCTCACCCTCAAACAAACACCCATAGAAGGTCAAATTTGAAGCCCCATTTGGCCTCCCCGTCCCCCTGCTTTAATGACAAAGAAAGAATCAGGACAGGGCGGGTGCAGCTACCTCATATCCCACTTTTGTCAGTTAGCTTCTCTCAGTTAGCAAAAACAGTTAGCAAAAACAAAAAAGCAGTCCGAAAGGAGCTTGCCTCGTCCAGTGCCACCACCATCATGCAAACAAGCACACTTTATTTCAAAAACTTTATTAGCCATCATAAAAAAAATCATTGAGCTTTAAATATTATTTCTAGTGCTATTCTACTACTATGATGATTTATTTACAAACACCTAGTTATTAGACATTAACATTTTTACAAGAACAACCAGGGAACTCTGCATCAGGAACTCCTTCAGATCTTGGTCTGCAAAGAAATTAAAATGGGAAGAATTAGGATAGCAAAAAGCGAGGAATGCTGGCACAAGCCCCAAAATTGCACAGTGTGGAGTTAATAAGCACACTAGGATAGCTGTGCTTCCCTAGAAGACAGTTTTAAGTGCATCTTGAAGAGAAGTAGCTACAGAAATATTGGGGGCCCACTCTGGCCCAAATAGCGATTTGCAGGGGGGAAAAATGTACTGAAAATATAGTCAAAGAGAAAATGAACCAAACCAGGCAGTGTTACACCATCCTGTTCCTCTGTTACATCATGGATGACATGGCATCAGTGGCCTAAATATTAATACTATATAAGTAAAGGCAAAGGAGCAGCAGAGTTGTTCTAACCTGCAAATGCCGTCTTCACATCTGTCTTCACATCAATAGCTTCCTCAGCCCCGTCCTGTAACAGATCTGAAAGGGTATTACCATTTTTCAGTGGCAGGACCACACAGCGCACTACATCTTGCCAGCATACACTCAACCTCAGTACACATTGGCTAATCAGATGCGTCCAGAAAGCCCACAGACAGGGCATTAATGCAATAGCCCCTCCTAGGTGGAACAACCTTGTTTAGATGCTATGCCAACCCAAGTTTTGCGGTGATCAATAATATTCTTGCACATTGTTTATGCTGCATTGGTCATGCCCTTGTTCACTACTGAATCAGGCTGCAGTCTGAACGCCACTTACCTGGGAGTAAGTTTAATCGATTTCTGGCAGGGATAGCCAGGATTGTTATCATGCCACAGCTAATTAGTCAAGCGTGTGTGCAAAGGGAGAAGAAAAGTGTTCTTGAAGAATGAATGGTGACTGAAACTTCCATATGCATGCCCAGCTCTTCCCATCCCTCTCCAAATAGCTGACTGGGAAAGAGTTAAGGAAAAGGAGTGAACAGGGAAAACAGTGAACTAACTGCTCATGCATTGCATAAAGTCTCAAACTAGGCAAAGCATACCACACAGATTGCTTCCCTCCTATCAAAAAAGAGAGCAAGTGGGAAAAGAGGGAAAGATAAAGAGTATTTTATTAGACATAAAGAAAGGGAACCTACCCTGCTGCTTTGGCTCCTTCCTCCTCTGTCACTGGAAGTATTAGCTTCCTCTCAAAGCTGGAGAGGAAGTGTGACTACAACTCCCATGATGCAGTGAGACTTCGAGTAAAAGACATACAGGCATGACTAGGATGTTGTGCAACTTTAAGAGTCTCTTAACCCCACTGTGCAATCTGGGCTTAAGGCAGCAGTTGTTACAGCTGCAGCAGAAAATGGAAGTACTCTCATGTGCACCAACGTCCATGGCCTTTGGTTAGAAGAATAAACAATAATGAAGGAAAGAAGTGCAGTAAGAAACAGCCGGATGCTTTATTGCCTGGTGGCAATAAATTCTCTTGGGGAATCAGTCGTCTGAGAGAACTGGTGATGGAATTCCTTCTACACTGTGGATAAAATCTTTTCAGAAATTCTGATAACTGGCAACAAATCCTCTGGAAAAAGTCTTTTGAATAAGAACTGAAGGTCAGTAAATGCAAGTGGTAAGAACGATGCTTCAAAATAAATGTTTTAAGAACTTTCAAAAATAATGTTAAACTTAATTCCATTTACAGTGGTGCTTTGTTTGCAAAAATGTTGAGTTTTGTAATTTCAGCCTGGGTGAAAATCTTCCAGGTGGTTGCTCATTGTTTTACTCCAAACATATATATATCTTTAGTATTTTTTAATTTTTAAAAATGCTAACCATGTAAGACACAGGTGCTTTGAAGCAGCAGGAAAAGGCACAAGAGATAGCAGTGCTGAAATAATGCTCCGTATAGGAAGGGTGTTGCTGCCAAATTATCATGTATATCTGTTTCAAGACATTCATTTCCAATGTAATGAGCTGGCAGGTGACACCAGGCAATGTTTATATGTGTACATATCTCCTATCTAGTAAATCAATACCCCACAGGTGCATACAGTGTTTGTCTGACCTTTTTCTTTTGCTAACAACACAGCATGCCTTTCGGTCGACTTCATATGCACTTCTCTAAGCATACATTTTGCATTGCTTTGCGATTTTAAAGTGATAAGAAACCTATGGCAGAAACGCAGTGATGTTAAATCTGAAAACTGTGCTTGATGAAGCCATGAAGAGACTCTGACCAATACACACATGCAGTTAGATTTCATGTATTGCTTCCCCTGTATTTTCTTCCCAACGGTCCATCAATGCTAGCACTGTACTTGCAGTATTTTAGAAGGGTGTTTTTATTTGCTACATTGCAAAAGTAAAGGGCATGGATGTAGACACCCATATGAAATTGGGGGGGGGGGCGTGCATAGGATTCCAACATAATTCTCCATTTGAATATTTATGCACCGGATCAAACCTCTATCTATTCCCAAGAGGGGAGAGAAAATATGCAAGATATATTGTAGCGCAATATCAGACGCAAAGTTTCAAATACTGTGGCTTCACACTTGTGTTTCAATTGCAACTTGATCAGGATTCTGCTTTCTCCCATTCTTGTTCACTGATGAACACACTTTAGTGCAAATATAGTCCAACAAGACAACAAGAAAATAAAAATATATTCTTGCTTTGGAACGTCATTCACCCATGAACATCTACAAGGGAACAATGCCCAGATTGTGTACCACTCAGAACACACTGCAGCCTCTGCTGAATGACAGCAGCCATTCAACTGATCACCCAGCACAAGCCATATTTAAGTAAAATGATTTAATTTAAACTGGGAAGCAAGTATTTCTTCCATAATAGAGATAAACAGTTCTGGCATTGGGGATGTTACTTACACAGGAGCAGTGTACTGAGGCATGCCCATATAAACTAGTGTTAGCAAAAGAAACGACCGGTGGTGGTAAATTATTTGATGCAATTTAAAGAATTGCCCCAAACGCTGCAGACTCTAATCCCACAACAACCATGTTCGCAAGTTGCAAAACTATTTTCCTTTTACTGATAGGGGTGGTTAATTGGCTGTTCAAAGATAAAGTAGTAACCTTTGTTAATGAGTCTCCAGCTATCAAGCTTCCATAATAGGTCCACCACAATTGCTTGGATTATGAAGTGTGTTAATAAGGAAGTTCCTAGAAGGAAAGTTTACTATTCCTTCCTCCAGGCCATCTGTGACCCCAGAAAAGCATTTTGGTAGGGTGGGTGGAGGTACCTTCCTGAGCAATATGAGACAGGGCGCAGGGGCTGCTGCTGCAAGGTGGGGACAGAGTATTTTCCTTCCATGAACTTCCTTAAGCTAAATTATGTTAGGATCCAAGCCAAAACTTTTCAGTGCAGTCAGCACAAACATTTCATAACCCAGTGATCTATATCTATATGGCACCAATGATGAATCAGGCCTTAACAGTTTTAACAGGCCAACTGTAAACTATATACCTGTTTACTGGTGAAGTCAGTGAATTTTACCGCAAGAGTAATGAAAACAATGAAAGAATATCTGTCCCCCTTGAACTGAGTAGTTTCCTTTATTATTATTTTACTAGCAGTGAGAAAACAAGGATCTTTGTAGAAGGCTCTCTCCTCTTAGGGCTGCCCCAACGTTGTTCTGCTGCAGAACATGCAAACCTTTGTGCAGATGCTTTTGTAACAATATTCTACCCACGTATTCTTGAGAATGAACCCACAATGTTAGGCTTTCCCCCCACCCCCAAATTGCAACTGCACTTCATCGCAGCACAATGTCACTCGGCTTAAAACATCTACACATCTTTTCTAAACACATGTTTTCATGAAGGACTTACAGAAGATTTTTAGAAATACATTTTCCAGGAGGGCTCTCTCTTGCAAAACACAAGACCCCTGTTAGAAAACTTCTACTTCAAGTCATAAAAGTCATTTGGTTGGTGTTTTCCAGATTTGCAGTACACTACATGGTATGTCTGAAGGATTTCCATTTGCCTAGGATGGGAAATCTGTGGCCCTCCAGATGTGGTTGGATTCCCATCAGCCTCAGGTGGTATGGTCAACTGCAAGGAATGATGGGAGTTGTAGTTCACTAACATCTAGAGAGCTACAAGTTTCCCATCACTTGCATGTGTTCTGATCAACAGGGACAGTTCAGCATGAATGTTTCACCACCAGTACCACAGAACTTGTGTGACTCAGACATAAGAATTTACATTCCTCTAGAAGCCAAAAAACTTTTATACATTCTTTGGCCAGGCTGTTGGAACTAACAAAGCTACCTTGTGAAGCAACATCTGTTATATTTATCTGCAGGTCTGAAAGAATCGACATCCAGCAAATCAAAAATTTGGTATCACCCTATGGCATTTGTTATTTGCATTTCAAAGCAAATGTGAAGTAACATTTATCAGCAGTAATATTGGGGGCCGATACTGAGCAGTACTTAGTAAGAAATACAGTGCAAAGGAATTAAAGTTATACATCCATTTATAAGTAATAGAATAAAAAGTTACCGAGGCACTAAGGTGTTTGTTTGTTTTTAGTGTTTTATTAAGGTTTTATAGAGATATAAAACCTTCCAAGTACGTCTGAGAATATCATGCCTGTACAGTACATAACATTCATTTTCACAACTTATGCTCTTGCTGTTGTGTATTTTGTTCCATTTCTAAAATATATGTTATTTTTACAAATGGCACATTTAAAAGTGGACACCTGAAATTCTAATGGGTGCAATGCTGCTTCAGCCCAAGTAATTTCTTCATGAACAAGTTTTAAAAGTGTGTGAGTGCATCATATTATAAGGCAGTGGCAATTCAGTGTCGTCACCATAGTAAAACACTTTGCAGAAAAACTTCAGCTTTTTCTTCTTCTTAAAACAAAGGGAGGAAGTTAAACATTAATTGTTTGTAAAGTCGCACATCTGAGGAGGCACCCTTCTTCAAACTAATCTCACTGTCTCCTAGGCTTTTTTCTTCTTTAACTAATCTCATTAGGCTGCATTAAGGCACATGCAGATATGACAAGCATGAATGTGTCAATGGAATTCACCCTCCACAAATAGTAAAATGTACCGCTTAAAAATTCTTTTTTAAAAAATGAAATACATCCATTTTGTTGGTTTGTTATGAGACTCGACTCCTATACAAAAAATTATAAAATTTACACCATCTGAGCTGCCAGAGAGGTTTAAAAAGTATCAGTTCTGCAATAAAACTACTTTCCCCCGCCACCACAGTCCAGAACAGGGCAGAATAAATACCCCATCACTTGAACTGGGGTTGGGGGAAGGGCAGAGGAGAACAGCAGCAGACCAACACCCCTGGGTAAAAGAGATGCATGATTGTATAATAGCATATTCCCCTTGTTAAAAACAAAACAAAAACAAAACAGACCTCTTAATCCTTTTTTAAAACAAAAACAACAACACTGGAATTGATGGGAACAATTCGCCGGCAAACAAGCATGAGTTGTTCAAGCAAAGAACCACAGTGGGGGAGCAGTTCTCAGTGCGCTGCACCCCCTGTGCTCAGATGCCTGGACTGAAATAAGGCACTTTTCTTCCAGTGAGAAGCACCTTCCAAAGGAATGACACAAGGACAAGATGAGTCGGATTTCTGGTTAAAACACATGAGGGTTGATTGGATGGTATTCCCAGGATGCAACAGTAACGGTTCGACAGCAGGTGGGAAGACACAGGAGGCAAATATCTGGGAGGCGAGCCTCTACACAGAAGTGGTCACTCTGTCATTGGCATTATTGACCTCATTTTTGTTTGAATCCAGTCCTTTAGCAGCGTTCATATCATTCCGTAAATTCTCCACTTTCACTTTCATATTCTTTAACTCCCCAGGGTGTGGAGTGGCTCGCCTTAGAAGTGTCCTCTAAAAACAAACAGTGGAATAAATGATTTTTCTCCTTCTTGTGACTCCCCACCCCCCCTTGTTAAGAAACTATATATATTCTTTAAAATGGCTTTTCAGGCTTGGCAATCAAATACCAGTGATTGAGTCTACCAGGAAATGTGCTGTCAACTTTAAAATAGCTGCTTAAAAATAATAGTAATAATAATAATAAATAAAATGTGGCAGGGGATAGACCTAATAGCTGAAGGCATGCTTGCCGTGATGCAGAGAGGCAACATGCATTGAGGGGACAACCCACTCAAAGTGCTTCCATCTTCCCAGGATTCAAATACAGTTGATTGGCCCTCATCCTGTCCACCACTACACTGATCCAGAGCTTCCACTGCCTCTCCTGATTTAATTGTTATGGCAAAATAGGACTGCCTGTCATCAGCGGCCTGATTAAATAGCACTGGGGACAGGATAGTACCCTGCAGAACCCCATAGCAGAGATGCCAGAGGACCACAGAGCACTTACCCAACACTGCTCTCCAAAAATAGGCCTGAAAGTAAGAACGGAACCATTGTAATACAGTGCCCCCAATACCCATCCCACCGTGACTGGTCCCAGTGTTAGAAACTGAGATATGAAAGCTAGGACCTAAATGGCACCTTAAACCTAGGCTATGGGTGCAACAACTGAATGTCTAGGTGCACTTTCTTATAACAAGAATACAAAGCTGAAAATGAATGAACTGCAGGTAAGTATTATGTTCATTTTTCACATGGTCTAGTCCTTTCCCTGCCCACCCTCTAATATTCTTAAGAGGGTCTCTTTTCCAGTCTTTAGAGAGTAGTTGGAAGTGGGGAGGCAGAAAAAGGTCCCCCTTTCCTTCCACTCTGCAGTTTTAGTTTGAAATTTTAGGCGCGGTGCTGTGCCCAGAGCTGAAAAACTAATTGAACTAACGAAATTCCCTGTCGCAAAATGCGTCCAAAACAATTGGGAGTTTCAAAAACTGGTTGGTCCAGGAAGTATCCAAAACCACTGAGAGACAGAGCATAAGTAACAGAGATGTATTCCCCCTGTCTCACAAGGAAGGCAACCAAAGTTGATTGGGTTCTAAAACCGAGTCTGCTTGCAGCAAATCTAGATAATGAATCTCATCCAAGAATACCTGCAGTTACTCCACAATCACCCTTTCCACTATGTTTGCCAAGAAATGGGTGTTGGTGACTGGTGTATAGATATTACACTCCATTGTGTCCAGAGACGGCTTTTTAATAAATGGACCCACCACTGTCTTTTAAAGGGAATCAGTCCACCACTGCAGACCCATGCATTTAAAAGTAGTCATACTCTGTATCTATTTTACCTCTGGAATTACATGCCATTACTTTTGGGACACTTCATGCTTTATGTGAAAAATGCACCCACATTGTCAACACTAATGTTTGAAGATGAGATGTTCATCAAAACACAGAGGATACATATTTCAATAAGCATCTGTTCTTCAAACTTGTGTACTGTGGGAAATGTGGTCAACATACATTCACATGTGAGCAGCCATAGCTGCAAAAAGACAGCTGATAATTCTAGTTTACATATGCAGCTGTGAAATGCAATTCTGCTCAGAAAAGTGACTGTAGCACCTTCGTAAAAAGCATCCACCACCATATGCATTCTGAGTCATGGCAGCTGCTGTTAGTTATGCAATGAATCTTTTCCCTGCTTTTAATTTTAGTTGATTCTGAAGACTAAAAATAAGTGAAAGTGAGGGGGGTGGCAGGCTGTGTGCGCCTTCTATGCACCAAGAAAAATTAAATTATTGTCCCATGATGCAGAAGGTGTGCGTGCGCACACACAAACCATGATATTAAATGAATCACAGTGATTTTAACTGCTTTATAGCAGCATTATTTTAATATGAACTGTACAATTTCACCAGTTACAGAAAGTCAGAAGGACTGGGAGTCAATTTGTTGCCCCAATATATTACCAGCTATGAGGAGGGTAGAAGGCACCTTTTGTAGTTCAGTTAAGTATTAATTGCAAGGAAACACTTATGTTCTTACTCTCAAAAATGCTGTAGTCACTATTCAAAGCAAGAATATTCCTTTAATGCATATTTTAGGTTTGTACTGTGGACAATTTCACACATGGCATCTTTAAGTGTATACCTAAGGTATTTGTTTTTAAGTGGGAACGCAAACAGGTGTCTCATACTGCTACACTCCTATATGAAGCCATGGTTGCCTGCCTGCCATTTGACATCTTCTGTGAGTAAAAAGCAATCATTTAAGTGGACCTACTTCATGGGCGTATTTGGAGGGAGGGGGGATGTGCTTTACTGGAGGTCTCATAAGTACAGTGACAGGTGCTCCCACTCGGCCCTCCTTCATTTTGAGCAGAACACTGAACATTTTCTGCCAGTTCAGGTGTCAATACAAATGATCATGTAATGAAGGCAGGGCGATGGAAGGGATTGTGGCGATGACAACAAACAGTATGGAAGGATAGGATACAGTCCAATGGGGGAGGGATAACTCCAAGGGCTTTGCTGCCTCTACAGGATGTTGGTTCCAAATCTTAGATCTTCCACAGAAGATGGATACTTCCATCCTGTTTTTGGAAAACTGAAGGGAACACCCCCCAAAAAAGACAATAAAAGTCAATTAAAGCTAGGATTAAGTAGCAATATTTTGCTACCCAGGGGTTTCTGCAAGAGTATCAGATTACAAGCATTTAACAAAATTGGCAATTTAGTAATGGTCTGCTGGTGCCGTGTAAATTAATGCCCGAATTATCAATAGTCCAACAAACCGTGCTTACGGCCCCACTTTTTCATTCGCTTTCCAAGAAAACATACCATTTCATTATCCTCTTCATCTTTTTCGTCTTCTAAAAAGCGGATTGCACTGACTCTATTTACTGCTCGTTCATTCCATGTCTCATCTGACATTTCATTTACCAAGCTCTCCAGTGCTCCACATCGGGGCAGGTTATCTGTTATGAGAGATAACAAACAGAGATAGAAGGTTGTTAGAGAAGTCAACATCAACATATATCCAACAGTTCAGATGTCAAGGTTTTTTTTCCTGATAAAAACACACGTTTGACAATTCCATACTACATTCACTTGAGAGGTCAGCTGCAAAGATCTTGTGCTTATGTTTAGGAAAGACATTACATCACATTTGCAATGATACAGTCTTATCAGGAAATTTGGTTCATGTCTCCATATATGAGCAGACAGAGGCTGAAACATCAACTTTCTGGAACTCTTTTCTTTAAGACTGTTTCCCTGAAATGTAAATTTCCCCAATGCCCAAGATTGTCATCAGCTGCAAGTGCAAAGAAATCACTTGATGTACGTAACTCTTGTACTTGTGTGAGCTAAGAACATGCAAAGTATTTAAACATCATCAAGAAAAGCTGTTCCAAGATCAAGTTAATGATTTGCATTTATTCAATAAGTTAAAAGTAAAACTACAGGGATGGGGAGCCGATAAGCCATTATTATCATCACCCGGCAGAAGATATGCAACACTTCATCACCTCAAAACTACAATTTCTTGAAAACCTCTTAAGAGGCATAGCACACTTACATGATACTATGCAGCCAAGGGAGTTTTGTTTGCTTTTCTCATTACCCTGAAGCCATCTTGCTTCAAGTGAAATTGATCTGTAAAATGTATTTACCTTGGCAACCGGGCTCAGAAGGCATTTGAGGAAGTAAAACACATGTTAAAATCTTCTCCCCTACTTCAGGGTCTGTGTCTGTCTGGAACGTAAGTAAAGGCTGGGACTGGTTATCAGACAACCACAACGCCTTCAGCTTCAAGCTGGTGAGTGACATGGGAAGATGTAGCAACCTGGCGGAGAAAACAATCCTAATAGTTCTTAAACTGCTACGGAGAATAAAGCATTTCAGTGTTATGAAAAAGTCTTGTTTTTATGTCTGCAAAGAGGTGGAAGAAGGTGCCCCAAACAACTGTTTCCCCATGCAAGATCATACAAATTTAAATTATGACATGGTTTCTGTGCACTTCATGTAACTTACTGTTTTCCAACAAAAGATCAGCCTTACCACATTGGTTTTGTTATGTGCAGGCAAATATGCAAGAAGCATCTGATGTGATCAGGAGAGAGCTTGGCATTTTCACAAGTATACATAGGTAGTGTCTGATCTTGAAAATTGCACTATTCCACCCACCCAACTAACTCTTCATATGCCATGCATTTCCCTAAAAGCATTGTGAGAATGGTATAGGTATTGCTGTAAGTGAATGGAAAGGGGGGAAATTAAATTCTCCAAACTGGGGGGAGGGAGGATTAATTGCTGTGAACTACATTACAGCCAGACAGCATAAAGACTCACATCCCATTACAGTAGCTGCTGGATCTTAACACAGCACAACAGTCTAAGGAAGGGAGCTTTTAACCTCCAGTACCTATTTTTTCTTCTGCATGGAAAAGATAATAAAATGATACTAATATATCTGGTGTTTAAAAACAACATGCCCCAATCTCATTACAGATGCAGTACCATTCTGTACAGCTGTACCCCAGTGGAATAATAGCAAAATAAATAAATAAATCTAAATCCAACACATCTCTTCATTTGACTTAAATTGGGAACTAACCTAAACATTCAACTATTAATGTGGTTTTTTAAAAAACTGTGTTTATAACAGCTACCAAATTGCACATACCCCATCCGATGTAGCAAACATTATGCATCTTGAATACATTACAAAAATAATTTGGATTTGTTGTGCATACGAGTACTTGCCTATTTCCAGCTACATCTAGGACATGAAGTTCTGTGGCTTGTGATATCTCAGGAGGAATCCTAGATAACCGGTTGTCACGTACTGAAAAAACATTTAGACTGCAACACCCACCAATCTGTTTTATGAAAAGAAAAGAGAATGCATTATTGTTGCAGAGGCACAGTATGCATGTAGAACATGGACTGTGAGTACTAATGTTACCAGCACACTAGAATACTCATGTTTGCCTTAGTAGTTGCTTTGTACAACAACAACAAAAACTCGCTCCACTAAGGGGCAGTCTTGGGACACTCATTCTGATTCCTTCTCAGCTAACCCATTGGACGATGGAAGCTTCAGAGACAGCATTTAAAGTTCTTCTGTTTAGCGACTAAAAGAGAGCAGCTGGGAACAAAGTTGATAAGCTTCAGCAAAACATCTGAATTCCTGGTCTGATGGTTCTGCCACTGCTTTTTAAAATTAGGCTTCCTGATCTCATTTATTTTCCCTACATGCTACTCTGCATCAGGTGCTCAGGGATGTGTTTGTATATGTTGGCGCACCTGCAAAGCAACAACGGAATACACAAACCTGCTTGCCCAAAGCAAGATTCATTGTCAAATGCACCGGCATCTTCAATTCACTCTATTTGCAGCTGAGGTGTTTTTAAAGCAGCAGTTGCTTATACTAAGTAAAACACCCACAAGGTTGCTCCATAGCAATTATTGAGACTGTGCTTATGCAAACTTGAAAACTCAGTACTTATGTAAGAGTGCACTGTAAGGCATCTTGCGCTAAAAAAAAAAGCCATAATTTACACAAACCCCAATAATTAACTCAACAGCACAATGGAAAGCAATAGATTCAAGCAATAGATTCAAGCGAAAAGCACTTAAGGCATACTTTTTAAGTTACACAAAATTACAATCGCCATTTTAAAGTTAGAAATTCTAAGTAGGTTTTAAAATGTAATAAGACTTAGTAAGTTCCACTAAAATCAGCAAGCCTTTATTCTAAATGAACATGTATAGGATTTAAGAGTGGGTCTTTTCAATTTACTGTGTCAAGTATCCAATTTCCTCTGAAATTCTATATAAGCTTCTGTTTACATTCACCTAAATTTCAGCGTAGAAAACACTATGCATCTTGAACTCAGGATATCATCTCACACCCAGGTTCTGCGAAGTTCAAAGCTTCATTTCAAGAGAATAAGCATTCTATTATAAAGAACTTCAACAGCACATGCATCTTTAAGATGGTCACTTTGCAACATGAATGGAATTTCCATCATCACATTTCTCTTTTTAAAAGGATAAAAAGTTTTCTACTGTCATTACCACTGATGCTAACCACCAACTTAAAGAGAGAGTCTGTACCGTTTGAAGGAGACCACAATCTTTGTATCAACAAGCCACTTTAAAGCCCCCTCTAAGCCTTGGTTATAAATCTAAAAATACTTTTTCAAACAACTCATTAAATGCTAGCTAGCTATTGGAGTCAATTCAATTTTGGTTGAATTGAATTTTCATTTTCATTTTCCCCCCATTACAACTGAAATCTTTCCCCCCCCCAGTAACCACCAAAAAAAGTATTCCTTTCATCACATTTTAATCTTTATGCAAACTTTTTGCCAACATAAATATTTCCATCGTATTCCCTTCCATTAGAAACAGGCATACTTTCCTCCTATTTTCATGCAAGGAGTTCATAGTGAAAAAAAGCATGAGCAAGATGATTATATATTGTGTTTGTTTAAGTTGCAGAGCCTCCCCAGGAGTGAAAAACCATGCACTAAAATTTATCTAAGTACTCTTGACAGGATATGAGGAACCGTAGCAAAAGTATCCATTGTCTGCCTAACTGGTGCATCTCTAAAATGAAAAAACTGAGCACAATTATTCTGGTTAGTGAATGCTAGATGAGCTGGCAAATGATGCCCTGTAGCACACAAGGAGTGTTTTCTTTGAATGGTTCTGTGTCGAGAACAAGCAGAATGAGTTTTGGCCATGCAGCCTTCTTGAGAGGAACCCACCCCTTGAGCTGGAAAACCCCAGACTTTTGGGGGCAATGAAAGTGCAGCCAGTTGGAATCATCATGCATTGAAAGCAGTTTGGATGAAAGGAATCAGTGCAACCGTGGACAGAACAATACTTACAAGGTTACAAGAGTTTACCTGACTCAATTTTTCCAAGCAGCTAACAATTAAGAAAAACACAAGAGACAGTTGTTTGATATAAACGCACACTATTATTTCAAAGGACAAGACAATACCAGTCTTGCACAAGCACACACACTCTATGATGAGACATTTTTTTTCTCTACCAGAGAACTCAACATTTCCGCTCCTTCACTGAAACTGGCTTCCAGCTAGTTCTGCATTGAACAGCCTTGAGCAATTGGCCTGGTGAACTGACCACTACATGGTAAACTGTAATAAATCTGTAAACTGACTAAATGAAAGCATGTGAGAAGCTAGTTGTCCATAATGCTGAGCTTTGTGGACCTAATCCAAAACATGGCAAAGTATTTGCTTACCACAGGGTCAGATAATAATGACCAGTTCCCCATGTGTTTGCATACATCCTAGAGAGAGTTTTGCAAATGAATACTATGTGATAAGTGATTGCTTGCTATCTACACTTCATGCTCATATGGAGGATATAATCATGAGATGCAAATAATGCCTTAAGGGTTCTCTTTTTTCTTTTTTTAACAGGAAAGTTGACTATTCAGAGCACAAAAATGCTACACATTTAATGGCTGGCTACACACAGCACATTCTAAATATCTACCACATATAGTTACTTTAAAAATGCCATAGTTTGCAGCTGAGGAACATTGACAAGGCTGAACCATTTGTTACCATGCAGCTCTGTCAAAAATAATAGGTGAAGATGTAGCATCCAATCAAAACTGGTAAGATATCAACTGTGATATCTTCTTGAAATAATCACCTCAGTCTTTTGTTGTGAAACTTACACCTCCACTTCAAAAATTACAGGGTTCCCTAGGCATGAATGAATCCTTAGGTGAAACAAAATTCTGATCTTGAAACTTTCTGGTGAAGTTCTCAGGTGTTATGTGCACACTTAGGAATTTGAATGGAGACAAGGGCTTAGAGTTTCTTTGTATCCCGTTCTGTAACATGGGGACACACTGAGTTCAAAAGGATGGCTGTTCAGCACCTTGAGGTCTACTGATCTTGCTGCCAAAATATTTCGCACTTTGTAGAGGGGGGAAATATCTACAAATAGTGGTAAGGAGAGTTTGCAGAAACGTTTACTTACATGCAACAATTAACAGAAACAATGATTACTAGGGAAAGCATTTTAGTGGGAGAATCCATTCTACTTTTGTGGCAAGCCAAATAAACAGGGTTCAAAGAACGTAAGAATATAAGGGTCTGCTGGATCAAGTGCATCTAGTTCAACATCCTATTCTTACAGTGGCTAATCAGATGTCTATGGGACGTCCACAAGCATACAGGGGCATATTTCCTACAACAGTGGGGCGAGAGCATAGCCACAATGGCTTGTGGCCTTGATAGCCTTCTCCTCCATGAATTTGCCTAATCTTCTGTTAAAGCCATGCCGACTTGGTGGCCGTCACTGCATCTTGTAGAAGTGAGTTCCGTAGTTGAACTAACATTATTTTCTAAACGGCATGCACGTTCCGAAGCATCCATGCCACAACACTAATCCAGAATATTCTCTTGCCATCTGACTAAGTGATGAATAGCCAGTGACTCGCTTGATATCATATTTGCCAACAGTTTTATTAGTCCCAGCTGCCAATTTATATATTTAACCACCATTTCATTTTTATGTATATATATATACCTAATGTATATCTCAAAACATGGCTCAAGTGCAGGACAAAATACACAACACAAATGCAAAAAAAAGTCAAAAATAGCAGACGTTTGAATCTGGTTAGTTGAATTGCATATATGTTCCTCTGACCCCTTTTGGATAACCTGGTATGACTGAAGAGTATTGTATTCATTTGTGCATGTTACATTGCATACCAAGGATCTTTAGGGGCTCTGATTCTAGACTTTGTTAAAGATGCCTATTTGCAAAAAAGAAAACAAGAAAATAGGTGACAATACGACAGACAAAATTCGTATATATGTATATATATTTATGATCTCAGAACTCCAAAACTTCAACATTAAGTGATGATTTGCAGGTGTAAAACAGCCACCACTAACAAGCACCAGAGTTTTTATATCAGTGCACATCATTTCAGACAATACCTTATCAAAGCAGCTGCCCCACATCAAATGCCGAATAACAGAGCAATGAAATAAATCACTGTGTATGAATCAGCTGTTAGTTCATATAACGATTTCAAACAGGTAGGAATAAAAGAACCTGACCATCACTTCATCAAACCTGCCTGCCTGCCAGAAGCTGCCTGCTGAAATCCACCCACTAATCTCCCCATGTCAAACCCCTTTGCTATTAAGGCAACGCAAGCCCACCTCCTTTGATCTCACCTGTCAGAATTTTGTCAAGGTTCCATCCCAACACTGCGCAGCAGAGGTTCTCATTATCACACTTGGCAGTTCACTTTGTCATATTTCTGTAGGTGGCACTGATGGCTATGATTAGCTGCAGAGCAGCCTGAATAGCTGGTTTATGTAACACCAGACACAGTTCACCACTGGCAATATGAGGTTTGAAGCTCTGAAACAGCTACTTATGACATCATGAAAAATACCAAAGAGGGTATAGGGAAATAAATTTGTGAATATTCAAGATCCAGAGAGTGAGCAAAACTAACCGGACTTTTGAACAGTTAATAGAAGCAAAAGGAGCGACCTATTAGCAGCAGAAGTGACACAGGAAGCTGGTGTTTGTGACAACCCTGGACAGGAGAAGGAGGGCTTATGGGTATGGTTTATACCATTGCCTGCCTCTGTACTAAACCAAAAATAAATTGGCCACCAATTATTTAGTCTGTAGCCAAACACTTAATTGCATGGCACTACAGAGCAGAAAAATTACCCAAGCTTTTTGCTATGCTTCTAAAAAACAAATAAAGCACATGCTATCATATTTAAGGTTCTGTACAGAGTATGTTGATACATTTGAAGCTGAACTCCAGTATTTCCTTTCCTGCTCTCAACAAGACAACTATCTGACTCAGCATGCAGTTATCTCTGTACTATAACACAACAGTCAACCTCGTGTAGCAGCTCATTCTGTATAATCTGAAGCTTTCACAGTAAAATGACAGGCTGGATCTACAGGCCCCCAGGCACAATTCAGGTCCCTCAGATATTTGTGACAAATTAAGTGGTACACAGAAAGAAGGCTAAACTCACCAGATAAAAAACTGTTTCTTATCACACCCTACCATACATGTGGTACTCAGTGAAAGACAAAATTCTGTTTATAATTTAATTTTATCTCCAGTTTTAAATATCACTGACATCAGAAGAAAACAGTCAGCTTCCTTAACTCACATTTTCAAATCAATGAAGTATCATATAACCACCAAACTTCTCTACTATTGTATGAATAAAACTGTAGAATAAACTCTCAGGGTGGTATTCAATGCTAGTCCTATGCAGAGCAGACCCATTGAAATTAATGGAAGTTACCAATTTAGGTTCGTTAATTACAATGGGTGTACTCTGAGTAGGACTTAGTTGAACACAATCTTCATTCTGCAGTAACATACAATTAAGGATGCTGATTTGCTTTGCTTTCAATTAACTGTTCTCATACACTTAATTGTCAACATATTTGTTGGCTGAGAATCTAGAGAGTAACCACATTTGGTTACGTTCCCCATGCTTTCAATGTAGGACAGGGGTGTGGAACTTGTGATCATTGGTCATGTTGGCTAAGGCTGATGGGAACTGGAGTCCAACAACATAGGGAGGGCCACAGGTTCCCTACCCAAGTGTAGAAGCTCCCAGGTTCAGTCCCAACATCTGCAAGTAGGCTGAGAAAGACTCATCTGAAACCCTGCAGAGCTAAATGGAGACCTGGCCTGATTTGGTGTAATCCTATATAAAAGGGTATCAGTACACTTATCTAAGGCTATCTCTTTATACTGGCCCACCTTCACATTTTCTAGCCTGTAGAACTGCTCAGGATTGGTGATACTCAGTGCTCATTGCCCCCCTCCATCATGCCTATTCATAGATACCAGATGTATCTGGAGAGGCCAGAAAAATCAGCATCCAAACTACAAAGAAAAGGAAAATTCTGAAGACCTCTCTGACTTGAAAGCCTAAAAGTTCAGGAGCATGTGGCCAACTGAACCAACAAACCTATGTTGACCTTCAAGGGCTAATAAGGCTGTTTTTGAAATGTTTACTGCAATGTAGCAGTAATCCCATTGAGTGGCGAGGGCAGAGTTGAAGCCTTTGTGTTACTAGGACAAATCAAACCTACTTCCAGGGCCAAGGCTCCTGCCACCAGGCTGAGTCTGCAGAATTTGTAAGGCTGTCAGCTGGCAGACTCCTCACCACACTGCTCCATCCCTGCAGTCTTTCAGTCTCTGGATGTATTAAATTAAATTTCTTCTTGTCATTTTGACTTTCACACCATGTGTGGCTTTTCTTATTTATAGCACATGTTCATATTTTGCTGAAAGCAAATGTTATCAAACAGCTACACTGGCAACAAAAAAAACACCACCAGAAGCCTGTCGGCTGTCATTCCAACCCCCCTCCCACCCTCCTTAAAAACCAAAACCAGTTTCACTCAGCAACAAAGCAAAACTAAAAGCAAACCAAGCAGATTACATGTGCCCAGCACAGTTTTTGCATAAAATGAAGCATGGAAGACACATGTGTAAGAAAGTAATTGTGTCTGTTGAAAGTTATGCCACAGTGACATTTGTTAGGCTTAAAGGACACAGATTTAGACTAAGATGGCAGAACTGAAGCCTACGTTTACTTCCAAAAGTTGCAATTCCCAAGGACTAAAGGGAACATTTGCAAGGTACACTATGCTTTGAAATCCAGAAACATTACATTGCAGGGTTGTTACAAGGTACATGCTTGCTCAAACAGATCACGGGACTAGCTTCCTATGAGGAATCTAGGTCTCCTGAGGATTCTCAGCAAATTTGCAATAGCAAATCTATTAAATCTTTTTTTTTTCTTCCTGCAATGCTTTTTGTTTTGCTGCAGTAGACTAAGCACAGCTACCCCTCAGTAAATTATTCACACAGAAAGACACAAGCATTCTGCAGGTCAGAACCTGCCACAGACAAGAGCCTGTGACAATAAGACTGCCAGCAATGCAATCTCATCAGTGTGCTAAATACAAAATGTTTTTTAAAAAACAAAAAAAAACCTGCAGATGTTGTATAGATATCCAAGAAGGCAGCATTCTTCAGTTCATTTGTTACAAGCACCCAATGCCATTTCAAATCTTGTGACCTTGAGACGAACTTCTGCATAGTAATTTTTAACCATAAAAAGCTAAATGGCTAACCAGTAATACTCATAATTGCTTGGGACTTTTCAAGGGTATTCTGATAGAGCACCACACATTCATCAGCAATTAGTGTTCCAAAACATTGCCCTGGGAAAGGAACTGGCCTTCTTTCTTCCTTTTTCTAACTTTGAAAATGCTTCATCTGCTGTGTTGAGTGGATTTTGATGGAAATTAAGAGCTCCTTTCAGTTCTGGGATGTCCAAGACCATGAGAAGCGAAATCATTTGGGCTAAACCACTAGACACCAGCCACAGCACATTGGACAGTAAATTACCATTTCAGTTATAGACTGCTCTAACACACTTCCTTACGTGCATTTATTTCCATCCACCCAGGTCCACTTATTTCAGGTTTTACTAGTCAGTGCAGTCCAATCTCTCGCCCTACATTTCATTCTAGTTGAGAAATGGGGAACCTATGGCTCTCCATTTGTTGTTAGGCTACAAGCCCCATCATCCCTGACCCAAGGCTGCTAGCTGAATGGAAATGACATACCTTTTTACATGCTGTCCAGTTTCCCCTGCAAAGACAAACAACAGGGATATTGCTTACCTCTTTGGGTAAAGACACTAGTTTGTTTCTGTCAGCGTTCAGTATATTCAGCTTCTTTAGCCGTCCAATGCTCTTCGGCAAAGTCTGTTTCAGATCAAAGCAGAGCAATGTCAGTGATTACCAATACCACCAGCTTTGCAATATGTGTTTACCTTTCAAAGCAGTTTGGAAATTCCAGATGATACAGGTTGTTGAGATTTAAAGACTTAAGATTCCAAGGTGTGCGAGCTCAATCAATGAAGTTCTAGGGGTGAATGTGGTGGGGCAGATCAGAGTAAAGCAAGGTCATGTTTGCACTAACATGCCAGACATCATTTGCCACCAGTCCTCTGCTACAACCATGTGACTATGACCTCACTGCTGACTCAAACCTAACCCCATCCCAGGTAACGAGCAGTGATGGCAGTGCCAGGAGGAATGCTTACCACCACATACGAATTTACATATGAATAATCTGAGGATGAAGCCGCATGTAACAGAGTTAAGTAACTATGGTGTGCACTCTGTTTTTATGTTTGCATCTTGCCTAGCAAATCAAAATGCTGCTGTGTCATTCAGAACCCTCCTTGCTTCCTCACCTCTGCAGCCCTTACTGTTTTTGCCTTCTCCTCCTCCCTTTGCTTGAAAACACAACATCCCAAGATCCAACACCATCCTAACTTGGGCACCCGCCTGGAAGTGTCAGAAACAGCTCCAACATAGGCAGCCCTGTTTAGGGAAGCTTTTAATGTTTAACAAACCACTGTATTTTAATATTTTGTTGGAAGCCGCCCAGAGTGGCTGGAGAAACCCAGCCAGAAGGGCAGGGTATAAATAATAAATTATTATTGTTATTGTTGTTGTTGTTTCCATTTTCTTTTTCTACGCTGCCTCTATTTCCAGCACCAGGGAACTGAAAATACCTTTTGTGCACTATGGATTTCTACCTCCTTGTTCCAATACCTTTAAAACATCTAGTTGATTTAAGAAACTTGCCGAATTATTAGGTAGGTAAGCTTTTGTGCCATATGCAGGAGCAGTTCCCCTGATACAGGGGTGGGTGGGTGGAGCTGCAGCAATAGCATTTGCACAACCTCAACCTCATCGCTCCCAGTAAGTAGCAGTGACTACGCTGCTGGGAGGCTATTGCTGCTGCTCCACCACACTAGGCAAATGCAAAATGTTGGAGGTTTTAAATTAAATCCTCTCTCCCTCTGAAGATATAACCATCAGCTTACTAAAGAGCATTTGCAATCAGATATTCATTTGGGGAGATATGTGAGCCCAAACCCTTTTAATCAAGGCTTTCCATTATGAGGTGAATGCATGTTAGGAAAAATCGGGTAGGGAAGAAAGATAGAATGATACAGTAGTGAAGTCCTACCAGCCAATCTTGGCAAGTTTCTTAAATCTGGAACAGGTGTTCCTACCACTAGAGCAGTGTTTCCCAAACTTGGGCCTCCAGCTGTTTTTGGACTACAACTCCCATCATCCCTAGCTAGCAAGATCAGTGGTCAGGAATGATGGGAACTGTATTCCAAAAACAGCTGGAGACCTGAGTTTGGGAAACACTGTGCTAGAATGTAATGATGGGACATTTCACCCAAAGAAGTAATAAGTAGCTTTTCCATCCCTGTGGTTTCTTAAATATGCAAGCAAAATAAACAAATATATAAACAAGCAGGGTAGGCAAAACATATTTATTAATCAAATGTGCTTTGGACCCTACTGGCCCTTCTTTGGGGAAATCAAGATCCAGTTCCATTTTTTGTGTGGGGGCGTGTTCTCATTTCTGTTGCACTTTTCATATAAGCCACAGATGTTTTCTGAATAATTTGTTGTAGCAAGCTAGATACAAGTAATAGCTGCTTAAAACTGAAATCTAAGTTTGTTCTCATTCTCTCTGTTAATCCCATATTTTTCCTAGACTACAGCCTCCATAGTATGCATAGTATGTGTTTAAGAATGCACATTGAAGGGTACTAATTCAACTGTCTTATATTTTACTAGAGTAGTCATAAGTTGGAAAAACAAAGATGCTGCAGTGAAAATGAGTCAAGATATGGCAAAAGGCATAATTACTGCCACTCATTTGAAGAGCTGCAGCCATACTTACCAGCAGCTGGTTTTCTGTGAGAACTAACTCAGTAAGGCTTTCACAGTCTCCTACTGCTTCTGTTAACTGAACAAGCCGGTTCTGGTCAACCTTCAAGATGGATAGGTTTTTTAATTTACCTACAAGCAAAAGAGAGAAGTTTATGCTAGTTGCTTTAACTGCACCAGTAGCAAATATGTGGCATAAAACACGTGCCAGACATCATTAGCAGATATTCTAAAATACTTAAGGTGTGCCAGCAAAATTTTGTGGTGATGTTGTTTCTAATAAGGTCTTTTCAAAGATAATTATTTCAGGTATGTTTATAATCTAGAAAATGAGAAAACAAAACTCCATGTGACTTTTATCTAAGTGGTGTTATCACCCAAGTTCTTTAACAATAGCTGTTGCAGAACATGAAAGGACAATATAGTCAAGAACCGTTGAGGTACGCCTTCCCTCAGATAAACTGAGAATAAAAGTTATAAAGAAAAAATGTGCAAACAACCTTCTAAGTGATTTATGTAAGATGATCAAGCCTTGCTACACCTGGCTTGCAATGTTTTTAGCCAATGAGTGAGTTGTTTAGATATCAGGATATAGGAATCACTGGGGTTTAATGGGGCTTAGTCTTAGATTTCTTGTGAGAAAGCAATGGGACATTATCAATGCAGATATATATAGACCACTATGTTTAAACTAAGTTGATTAAAACGTCTTAAAAATCAAATAATTATAACACAATTACATTATTCAATGGGGGGGGGGAATCCATTTTAAATTTATGTTAGTTATTTCAGTGGTTCTGCCGTGCAGCAAAACACTGAAAAGTAGGGAAAGGCTTTGTTTTTTATTTTTAACTAAGCAATTAGGAAAAATGCTGACCGTATGCTTTTCCTTACTATTTCACCTGTAAAAGCAAAATAGTAAAAAGCTTTTTAAAATGAAGGAAGATTATTCTGTTTTCCACAGTCCCTTATTCGTGTCTGTGGTAGATCACAGGACCCTCCCCCCATCCCAAAAAGCTCAACAATTTATAGTGGGAGTAGATCTCAGTCTCTTGAAAGTTGGACATGCCTGCCTTATGACACCTCCTCTTTGGAATAAATCTTCTGTGCACACTTATCTGTGAGTAAGCTCAACTGAGAACAAGTGGGAGTTATGCCTCCAACAAACACAATAATCAGGCCAAATTAAGTTTGGTTAAAGCCACAGAGTTGTACCAATGCATATGTGTGTACATGTGGAGGGAGTCCTTTATAACTCAGGTTAAAGGAAGCAACATTTGATGCATATTATACCAGCACTAAGTCTCTGTTTTTTTGCCATTTTATGGTAAGTTAAGTGAGTTAAAAATGTGAAACTCAGAGTATTTTCTTTTCGTTTAGCAAGGCTAGCAAACTGTCTTTTGCTTGTGTTTAGCTGGCTACTGTAAAATTGTAGTTGCTGAGACTATTTTTTTGTAGTTTATGAAAGCTTATGCCATATTAAATTTGTTAGGCACTTTAAAATACTTCACAACTTGCTTTGTGTATTCGGTGCGGGGAGGGGAGACAACTACTTTGCAAACTGCACCATGGCCCCCAATCACCTTATTCCAGCCTTGATCTCAATATATCCTCAACAACCCTGTAAAGTATGTTAAGCCAACAGAGGTTGGCTTCCCGAGGCTACCCACCAAGCCTCATAATGCAGCAGGGATTTGAATTCTGATCCAATTCCATATTTCCATCCACTGGCTGTAGAAAGTCATGCATTTTTAGGATAGTTGCTTTTGGGGGGGTGGGGCAGTTTCATTTTTAATGCTGTGACCACAGTGAGAGAGTCTGATGAAAGGTAATTAATGGCCTCATTCATAAGCCTCCAGTTGCCCTCTCCGTAATAGGTAATTGGTTATGTACCAATAAAAAATTGGCAAGGCACAGCGAGCAAAAAGGAAACTGCTGACTGACTGCTGTGGGCTATATCACCAAGAGTTGGAGTACTAAGGGCAGCAGCCAGGATGTTTAGCAAGTGGGAGGAAGGCAAGGACAAAGAGGGAGAGGCCTGGGCAGCACCAGACAAGATAAGGCAATCAAAATAAAGCTTGCGAAAATAGAGATATTACAGTTGGAAGAATCTCATGTGAGATGTTTTCTTAAGAGTATTCCCTTACTGTACCTGAAAACCATTGTACTTGAGTCACTATTATTTTCATAGCAACATCAATATATATAGTGCTTCAACTAAAGCAAACAAACAAACAAACCAGGTCCCTGCCCCAGGAAGCCTGCCAGCAATATTGGGAAGGAAGAAATGTTGCAAAAGAAACAGGATGGATACAAGCAAATGAATTTGCAGCTATCACACTTCATTTAAAAATGACCACAGGACATAAAAGGATTTGAGGGAGAGAACCATGTTGGTGTTCCAGAACAAAGCTACAGGCTCAAGTGGGAGAAAGATTTAACAGCCTGTATCATGGAAGATGCAGACGTTTTTTGAGCAGATGAGGTAGCAGAGCAGAGAGTGACTAACTACAGCTTACAAGTCCATCTGAGTCCAGACTAGCTAACATTACAGTGGTACCTCAGGTTAAGTACTTAATTTGTTCCGGAGGTCCGTACTTAACCTGAAACTGTTCTTAACCTGAAGCACCACTTTAGCTAATGGGGCCTCCTGCTGCTGCCTCGCCGCTGGAGCACAATTTCTGTTCTTATCCTGAAGCAAAGTACTTAACCCAAGGTAATATTTCTGGGTTAGCAGAGTCTGTAACCTGAAGCATCTGTAACCTGAAGTGTATGTAATCTGAAGTGCCACTGTAGTCTTAAGCACCAATTTACTAAAATGGAAGCAAGCTGTGGTTTATTATACTAGTTTGTTTTTATCTCTCACCTTTCCTCCCGGGATCTCAGGGTGGCATACATGATTCTTTTTCCTCCCTTGCTTTATTTTCACAGTCACTGCAGGAAGTAGGTTTGACTGAGAAGAACCAAATGGCCTAAGGACAACCAATGAGCTTCGTGACTGAGTAGGGATTTGAACCTTGATCTCTCCCAGATCCTGGGCCAGACATTCTCTAACCTAGGCTTCCTCAACCTTGGCCCTCTAGATGTTCTTGGCCTACAACTCCCATGATCCCTAGCTAGTAGGACCAGTGGCCAGGGATTATGGGAATTGTAGTCTCAAAACATCTGGAGGGCTGAGGTTGAGGAAGCCTGCTCTAACCACTAGACAACCCAGGCTCTCTTCACAGCTTAAAGTTTGGGTACAATACTAAATTGTGGATAGACAAAAGAAGAAGCTATTACTATTCTGCTTATGGCCCTGCCTGAAGAGGAAAGAGGCTGGAGAATACATGAGTCCAAGAGTCACACAAACTCAGTGTTGCAACCCTAAACCAAGGGCTAGTGTTATGTGTAAATGTAGCCAATGTACTGTGCTGTCCTTTACCAGCATTAGTCCAAAGCAGAAATTTCTATGAGAAAGAAATTGTTTCATTGGAAATGTTTGGACTTGATTAAATTCTTGTTGCTCTTTATTTTATTTTATTTTAAAAACACTTTTCACTTACCTACGCCATCCGGTACCACCTCAAGAAGGTTCTGAGAGATGAGTAGGTCAGTTAAAGACAGCAGACCGCTTATCTCTTCAGGCAGTTTTTCCAGTTTGTTTTCGGAGATATCCAGGCAAAGCAGGTTTTTCAGGCTTCCTATTTCCTACAAGACAAACATCTAAGTCATGTCTCAACATGCAGCACCCAGAGATCTGACAACTGCCCCATAACAAGATGCTTAACGGCAAAAGGGCAATTCCTCTCTGCCAGACGACAACTCATTTCTGATGATATCACAAGTGATTCACCAGTAAAACCTCTGTGTGCAATACCTAGCATGTGCTAACAGTCCAAGTTAATTTGCTGACTTATGAGTGCAGCCCAGCGCTGCCAGCCAGTCATTCATTCAACAGTAGCCAACACCCAATTCTGAATACTATTCAAGGTGAAAGGGCTAAACATGTAAAAGCTTAGGCACACAATTAGTCAAATCAGTCCTTGCTGACTAAAGCTTCAGTATCAGTATATGGGGAACCTGCATCTGCATTCCTTGTAAGAAGAAATATGTCTAACAGGGGGATATTTTAACTATTTAATCTCACTGAATTGTATACCAAGTTTTGCCATTATACCATCAATGTTTGGATTGCAGTTAGCCAAAGATATGGGTGCATGTTCCGATTGTAAAATCAACGACATTTATGTTGAATTCTGCTCACATGCCAGCGAACCCGCACTATAAAATCCACACCTACACACATTTTCTCATAGTTCAGTTCCCAAGTTATCAAAATGCTCGTGTTGCTGAATCGAAACAGGTGGAAAGATAGCTGAAAGCAGACATTCCAAAACAGCAGCTCGCTCTTTCTGAGTAGAGCATCTCTCAGGTTCCTCATCTTCCAAACAGAAAACTGTGAAAAGCAGAGGTGGGCAACCTGGAGTTCAAGGGTCAAATGCAGCCCTTTAGGCTCCAAAGCATTCCCCAGGCCTTACCCCCTCTGCTTGAGCGACACCTCTCATCATCTTTAAATACATTTGCTTGACTTGATAAGTCTACTGCTTGCTTGGATAGAAGTGTGTGAGGAGCTGCAGAAACATCTGGCATTTGAGTAGCTGAAATGTTGCCTATTCTACAAAGGTAAGTGCCCCATTCATTACTGTGCCCATTTTAGTCTCTGCCCACCTGCCCTAATGTTTGCCTCTGGTCACACCCACTTTTACCTTTGACCCCCTTCCCTGGCATGTGACCATACCCACCCACAAAAAAGGTTGACCATGAGGAAATAATCCATCAGGCTGAAAAGGATTCACCACTCTTTGGGGGGCTTAATATCCTTGAGAGTCACCTACTTCCCCCTCGAGATTATCATGGCCCCTTCCACTTCCTTGCAGTTACATGACACGATAGCTGTCAACTTTTCCCTTTTCTTGCAAGGAATCCTATTCGGAATAAGGGAATTTCCCTTTAAAAAAGGGAAACATTGACAGCTATGCATGACACATAAGTGACCTCTCCACTGTGAGGCAGAGAGGGAAACTGATCAACGCCTAGCAATGGATTTCTGGAGGAATCACTGACATCACATCCCTTCCCCTGTGCTTCTTCAGCTTCAAAACACACATACAAAGATGAAAAGGCATTTACAGGCGGAAATCAAATATTACATAATCTTTACATGGACACTTTGTCTTTTTTAAATAACAGGATATGAAGGGCTTAGATTTCCCCTTCAGTCATCCAATAATAATAATGTTCGATGTAGTTTAGTGTAATTTAAAAATTTATGAGAATTGTCTCTTACCTGAGGTAATTCAGCCAGCTGGTTCCCATCTAGCCAGAGATCTTTAAGATTATAAAGTGCACCTATAGTTTCTGGCTGCAACACGTGAGAGAAAATGTATCATGAATACCATTGCAAAATACTTTTAAATACACAGGGGAATCCAAAATAACATCATTTCTTCAGCTAAGTATCCTTTATAGCCAAATCAAGAATGCAGAACTCCTGCAAGCATTACGCTTGTGTTTGCTATATCCAAAGTCCCATTGCAAAGAAATCTCACAACAAATAGGTGCAGCCATTGATAAGGAATAAGCACAAAACCTGTGTCTCCTCCTGGTTCTTGGCTGCTCAGCATGCCATTACTTAACACTGCTAACAGTTCAGAACTTCAAGGAGGAGGAGAAATGGTATCACAACATGTTGCAACAACTCCACTTCCAGGGTCAACTCCTGATAACCCTAGCCACATCCCAAAACACTCCAGCCGACATTCCACAGCCCTTTCTTCAGTTCATGGAAGTGAAATCTTTTCCAGGCAACATTCGCAGATACAGAGTTTCTTGATTACAACCACAACCTATAATGTGCATGAAACATTGTAATGAGAAGCGCTTCATTTTCACCAACGACAGAAGGGCCATCTCCCTATGTTCTAAAGTGCTGGGATCTAAGAGCTTCTCATTATTCTGACGGGCCACTATTTCGTGGAGTTACGTTTTATTATTTCTTGCTAGAAAAACCTGGCAATTTTTTTCTTTCTCTTTAAATGAAATTATATGACCCGCTTGAAAGAGGAACATGCCAAGAAGAGCAAAATGCCAAGACAAACGGTGCAACTTAATGCCCTTAAGCAAACTTACCCCCAACTTGCAATGACTCTATACTGCGATAGAGCCACACACACACACACACCCCTCCTCCCCCCTGCTTTTTAACAGTGAGCTTCCAAAACCACACTATAACATTAACTACCATTATTAAGAATTTAACCTCAGAATATTTTTAGTTGCTGTAGTCTGTCTTCCATGCACATTCTCTGTGGTTATTAAATGAGAGCCTGCACTGCTTCTATTTTTTTTTCATGCTCTGCCTTCAGCGCCACATCAGTGGATGGGGGAAAGAAAGTAAAAAAGAGAAACAGCTGGAATGTTAATCTTGTCTAGTTTGGGGGAGAATTTTAATTTTGTGTGTGTGTGTGTGTAATCTATGCATTAAATTTGTGATTTCATACTGTACAGTTTGAGCCTATTTTAGTGTGTGTGAGTGTATCTGTATTTTTAAACATGAATTAAACATTAAAGCAGTTAAGGAGGGCAGGTGGGGATTTTCTCTTGATGTGCTTGCCATTTCTGTCACCAGTGAGGACTGTTTAAAAGAAAAACACTACAAACTGTGAGTGGCATAAAAGCAAGTCTTAAAAAGAATTTGCAAATTTTCAAAAAGGGGGAAGGGAAATATAGTTTTGGAAAGCTGAAAGCTGAGGAATGAAGTAAGGAGAAGAAGAGTTTAGAGGCGATGACTATAAGGACAAGCCTACAAAAACAATCTATACAGGGAACATGACGGGCGAGTCTACATAAACAATAATCTATACAAGGAAGCATCACCAGGTTGTGACAACCTTTCACTCTTCTATGGCTGTATACATGTCATGCGTGCATTTATACATTACCTGCAGGAAAAAGAAGTCAAACAGAAGAAAGGTAATGCTAATTTTAAGTGCTCTCCATTTCACCCAAGAAAAGCGTATGTATGAGAACATGTGGGCATATAGTAATTTCAGTGAGTTCGCATTTCATTAGCATTAACTTTTGTAACCTGACATTCAGAAGACATCTTAAGGCAGCCCTGTTCAGGGAAGTTTTTAATATGTAACGCTGTACTGATTTTAACACTTGATTGGGAGCCGCCCAGAGTGGCTGGGGAAACTCAGCCAGATGGGCGGGGTATAAATAAATTATTATTATTATTATTATTATTATTATTATTATTATTATTAAAAGAAGATGATGATCATCCTAGACTAGACAATGGTGTGAATAGCCCATGGAACTCAAAGTGGGAAAGCAGAGTAGTGGGATTTTTCAAGCTCTCTCCAAAGTGCATCTTAAGACCAACTGTCCATTTTTTAACGTTGTCCTATTTTGACAGACTATAAGAGATGTGGTGGCTTTCCATCTTAGATGTTGAGAAGGTGCCAACTGGGAGGCAGTCAGCCCCAACAGCAGATTGCTGGTTGTTCTGCTTCAGGAAGTGAAAGCAAACCACAGCCTTCCTCCGAGAGGCTGTTTTCACTCCATTTCGTTTGAATGGGATGGCTGCTTGGAAGCTCCTTCTGCAAACCCTTGTTATTCATAAAAGCTTCTCATCCATGGACCACATGATTAGATCCTCTTCTCTTGATAAAGCATGAGCAACAGGTGCTGCACTTGTGTACCCAAGATGGAGTTACATTCCCCAATAACGTTCTATAGTCTCCCTGCAAGAGGTTCCTTATCCACGTCCACAGCCCATAAGGCAGCCCTTCGAGCACAGATGCTTTTGGGTCCCAATAAGCAAAGACAGTTCCAAATGCTGCTGGAACGAACAGCGTTAATTGCAATCAGTACAAAATCACGCTCTGGAAGCCTTGCTCTTTTCAGATGTCACTGTTGCCAGTTTGGGAATTTGCATACTAATGCACCAACACTATAAACCAGGGGAAAGTGTGGGAAGCTTACCAAATTATAAAGTTCATTGTTCCCTAGGTCTAGCTCTTCTAGTCTCTGCAGCTGGGCAACTGACCTAGGAAAACAAGAATAGTGTATTTTGTACACATAGCTTTAAAAGCAGCCTATTAGCATTAGGGCTAGGACATTCCCCTCTTAATTGTTGAATAACATTCACACAAATTAAATTAAAAGATGCTAATGAAAATGTTGCATTCCAGCGCCATCTCTTTGTACCGAATGACTCATTTAAAGAATGGGCTTGGAGAAAGAAAGTGAGGCAGAAATGCTGCAATTCATGCCATGAATGCAAAACAAACTTAAAACGAACAACTTACTCAGGTAAATATGTCAACAGATTCTCTCTTAATTCCAGTGATGCCAGGTTATAAAGGCTAAAAAAGATAAAACAAACCTCATTAATCCTTTGTCTTTGTTTAAAAAGAACATCAAAAATAATTTCCAAAGGGGTAGCGGTATTAGTCTCTTGCAGCAAAAATAAAGCGTCTTATGGCACCATCTTAAAGATTATGGCATAATCTTTTTCATGGACTCATGCCCACTTCAAAAGCCATGAAGAGTAAATGGCAAATACAAGATCATTTACTTATATGGATGTGTAGGGAGACCTTCCACATATCACAATAACAAGAAAAGGCACTGGTGGATACACATCACTCAAACTGTTGGGACGGAGATCAATAAAAAACATTAAGGAAAAACCTGGACTTTCACCTCCTTACAGTGCTATTACAACTTGCAAAAGACTGATCCATTTCATGTTTCACATTGCTTAGACACCAATAACTCAACACTAAAAGAAAACTAATGCTATTAGTGAATCTGTGTAGATTAATAAAATCTGGAACACATAGATAAGGACAAACTCTTGCCATGAGAATGTGTTAAGGCAAATGAGAACCTATTTTAAACAAAACTGGTGGTTTTAAAATGAGTACCCAGACAATGGATGAAAACTCACACACTTAAATTCAAAGTTGAAAATGTTTGTTTTTTGAATGAGTGGTGGAGTAGAGACAAGAAGAAAATGATGAATTGCCTGGATGTGTCACTGGTTAGGCGTCAGTGTGTAAAGCTTCCCCCCTTTTTTTCAATTAAAGAAAACATGCCTTTGGTATACAAACTGCATTTATTGGTTCAGCGCATCTCCAGCTATCCATAACTTCCCATTTATGGAGTGTTCATCATTGTAAGTGGCATTACACGACTAAGCTAAGCTTTCCACTCACTTCCCATCATAGTAAAAGCCTATCATCACCATAGTAACAAACAATTCCCCCACCCTGGCCAGGGTTTTATTTAGGACCAAATGGAACACAAGGTATCGGACATTATCCCAACGCTGTAATCTGCCTTAATCCTCCAACCTCCCTGAACAAAAACAAAAAACAGAAATGCATGCCCATATTTTCTGCATCATAGCTGCCTCTGCCTTAAATTCCAGAGGGGCAGCCATGCTAGTCACTTTTGCAGAAAGACACAACGAAGGGCTCTGTGGCACTGTAAAGAACAACAATGTTATTGTAAGCGTAGGTTTTCATGGGCTACAGCCAAAGCTGGTCAGATGCATGAAATATTACTTCACTTAGCAGATAAATACACGGGTAAAAGTGGGGAGGGGAGGGGTCACCAACACTGCAGCCATAAGCCTGTGAGATGCAAAGGTAGAAGTTTGGTCTGCAACACTGTTATGCTAACAACACATAAAGAGAATTAACTGCATAGTGTAGCGGGAAAGAGACCTCCCTGTCGCTACTGAATAAAGTCAAATTCACGCGTAGAATTTGGTTGCAATTTCACACTATAGCCACCCTTTGAAATGCATTGTCACTGTACTCAAAAGTGACAGTGGTTAGGAATATGTCTAGGCCAGCCATGCCCTCTTACGTTCCTTGTAGACTGAATTCCACGGAAACCACTTGGACACACATAGGATTACATTATCATAGCTGTCTCAGTGGTGGCCAAGGAAACCTCAGAATGGCATCTGAGACTTCTGCAGTCACATTCCAGCTCTGCCCCCCCCCCCTGGCCATTTTCGTGTCATGTGACAGCTGAGTAGACACTATCCTGACATCACCTCTGGTTTGTTTGTTTTTTAAATGAAGTTTTATTGCATTTTTTCACTATACAATAAAAGACCAGCTAATCTACACAAAGAATAATAAAAGGAGAGAAGAGAAGAGAAAAAAGATGGAAGAGATTGAAGAATACAAAATCCTCTCTCACAATGTACCTTAACTTTTGTCTCATACAGAAAAAGATGTGTCTTCCCAGCTCCCACCTGGAGCATCCCTCTCTTCTCCCAGTCTCTCACCCTGGGATATCTCCCCTTCCCTGTCTCTCACACAGGGTCCTTCAAACTGTACATTACCTCTGTTGAAAGCACAATGGTGTTAATCTCAGGCTGCTATGCTGGCACAACTCCCTGGGCCAAGATTTCAGTTCACGCCATGGGATTGTGAACTTAGAACAGTGGGGTGTTCCACAGTAACATATAGGTGTATCATTCACTATTACCTCTTTTTTTGGGGGGGTGCAAGGTATACTGCTACAGTATGTACACATTTTGCGAGGCAAAACCCCAACGTTTTCCCACCAAACGTCCAGTGTTTCAAAGCTGTGTTCAAGTATAAATTCCATGCAAGAAATATTGCCAAGCCAACACAAGGAGTATGCAATTTCTGAAGTAATTACAATTGTTGTTTTTCTCCCTCGGCATTCCAGATGTCTTTTCTACTTTTAAGTATGGGATCAATTAGAAGCCTGTGGGGGCTACATTCCAAAACATGCCCTTTTCAGAAGAACCAAGTTGCTGGCGCAGTTTCAAATCAGAGCAGTGCTTAAAATATGCTGGCTTCATTCAAATATTTCGAAAGTAATGTAGCTATCTATTAATGCAGCTAAACCATAACTAGAAGCTGAGGTCCAGCTATCCTGGGTATGTATAGAAGTGCACAGTCCTATCTATTTCCTGCTAGACATTTATAATTCGGTTTTCCTATACCATTCTGGTAGGCGAGAATTCAGTTTGTCCGATACAAGAAACTGAAGAAGCAAGCAGTATCTTTAGTTACTGTGGCTCAGCAAAGCTGTCCTGTAGGTATGCATGAAACACATACTTATAAGTCGAGCAAAATGTACTGTGCGGTGTATGAAGCAAGTATATTATAATATACTGTGCCTCTACAATTGTATGTTTTTCTATCCCCATATACTTGCTGCCTTTGCTATTTGTACTGCTGTCTTTATTTTCCCCATTTATGTATTAAAGGTAAAGGTAAAGGGACTCCTGACCATTAGGTCCAGTCGTGGCCGAATCTGGGGTTGCGGCGCTTATCTCACTTTATTGGCTGAGGGAGCTGGCGTACAGCTTCCGGGTCATGTGGCCAGCATGACTAAGCCACTTCTGGCGAGCCAGAGCAGCGCACGGAAACGCCGTTTACCTTCCCGCCGGAGCGGTCCCTATTTATCTACTTGCACTTTGACGTGCTTTTGAACTGCTAGGTTGGCAGGAGCAGAGACCGAGCAACGGCAGCTCACCCCGTCACGGGGATTTGAACCGCTGACCTTCTGATCGGCAAGTCCTAGGCTCTGTGGTTTAACCCACAGTGCCACCCGCGTCCCCCATTTATGTATTGCAGCCCTGTAAATGACTGGTCTGAATGAATGATGACTCTGTTCCAGAATTGCTACAGGGAAGAAAGCAGGGTGGGAACAGAGATGAACTGCTAATTATAATAATAAACAAATAGGACATTAAAACTCTTGCTTCTATAGCACTATCAAAAAAAGCTACCAGTGATAAGAACCATAGTCCTCTAGAGTTCCAGGCTTCACAGGAACCCCAGAAGTGAAATTCCACGTGGCATTCCAGGGGTTAGCTAGTACGCAACCTTCCCCAGGAAGAATCAACATCCTGAGAATTCCCAAATTCCTAGGAAATACGATAACAATCAGCCTGCCATGCACCTGAGAAATTTGTGAAGTGCAAAGTGAATAGAGGAAGAGGCTAAAAGAACAGATTCAATAGCTAGAAGTGAAAAAGGTAGAAGACTCCCGGAGACCTAGAGCTGTTTTAGAGCAAGATCTCTATATCCCCCAAACAGTGGAAGCTTCCACCATACCCAACTGCACCTAAATACCTAGCTGTCAGAGCACTGAATCCTGATAAATACTTGCTGTGGGTCACAGATTTAAAAAGAATAATTTATATTATCAGTTGTACTGCTCTTCCGCAGTACAGGCAGATTTCCAGATATCTGGAACAAGCTGTCACACAACTTAACCAGTACTCTACTAATAATCTATCACGTATAATGTATTGAAACCTGATCATACAAGCAGTTCCAGCATACATAACAGAGGGAGGCCAAGGGTCCTACCCACTTAATTTTAAACCATATCCAGTTTCCTCTGTAAATAGACAGGGAACTGCAGCTAGAGCATGAGATATAATAACTGAATATAATGTATGGGATATATTTTGCGTATATATATATATATTTAATCACGTTTCTTGCCATGTTTCCCCTTTTTCTGTATTCAATTCTGTATGCTTATTTGCAGGTGTCATTTGTATTTAACATACATTACACATAATTGGTTCATGTTTTTGAATGCCAGCCCATAAGCGTGTGTGCACACACACATGCACACACAGAACAAACTACTGATTCATATTCATTGTACAACAAAAAGTGATACCAAAGTTACCAAGTAGATTTTAAGTGCTTCCTGAAGGTCAGGGGACTGCGCTATTTTTACAGCGAGTTGAATCAGGCCCCCTCAGTTTGTACGTGGGCATAACTACGCGCCCATTATGTAAAAGAAAACAATTATCAAAAGATGAAAGCAAAAAGAACAAAAGTTTTTTTAAGCTTCATGTTCCCTCTGTTCTACCTATGGAGAACCTCTAATTTTATAGAAGTGAATTCTGTTTTCGGTTCAATAAGTACTAAAATCAACAATTGCAATGGGAAGTTAAAAAGTGCTTCGACTCCCTGAGTTCACAAAGGCAGTAATCTTTTTCTTGAAGGTGTTATTGATTTAAAATATTAGCCAAGTGTATTTATAGATACTTTTTGTGCATATATGTAGGTTAAGGGGGCTGTTTGCTCTGCTTTTATTATATAAACCCAGTGAAATAAAACTTCAGCAGCAGGCAACATCTAGCAATAAACAATAGAACTTTTATCATAAATTATCATAAAATGGCTGGGAGGAGAAAGAAGCTTTTCACCAGGTAACCAAATGAATGTTAATGATGGACCCAGGCAGATCTAACTGAGGAGGAACATTCAACAAGTGAGAAGCCACAACTGATAAGGTCCTCTCCTCTTGTCCCCACCCTCCAAACTTACCTAAGGGGGCAAGTGGAGGAGGATGTCAGATGAAGATCAAAAGGCCCAGGAAATGGATCCAATAGATACTGGAATCCTGAATTGTGCTAGATCAGGATTTCCCAAAGTTGCATCTCCACCTGGTTTTGGACTACAACTCCCACCATCTCTAGCTAGTCAGGGATGATGGGAATTGTAGTCCAAAAACAGCTAGAGACCCAAGTTTGGGAAACCCTCTGCTAAATGCTTTTATTTTATGAAAGGTTTTTTAATGTCTTGTGGTATTTTATATGGTTGGCCACCCAGAAAAACAAGTTATTGGGCAGTTTTATATAAATCTAGGGGAATTTTTTTTGAAACATATGCTGCTTTTAAGATATGGAACTTCGTATTTTCGAGACAGTTCAAAGACTTTAAGATACTAGTGTCCACATAAAGCTGATCAACTAAGCATTGCTTAGTTATGAACTATTATATAGAGTTCTTATATATTTATTTATACCCTGTCTTTCTGCCTGATGGGACTCAAGATGGCTTACAGATTAAAAGAAAGAAAGAAACATACAAGAAACAAGCATCAAAAGACAATTAAAATTTGATAAAATAAAAACTATATACATACATAAAAGCTGTTTAAAACATAATTGCAATAAAAACAGCACAGCAGTTGCCCTTTCATTTAAAGCAGTCAATTCCCAAAAGCCTGTTGGAACAAGGTGGTCTTCAACTCTGCTCTATGGGCGGGTTGCGTCGGTAAAGCTTCCGATAACAGCTTTAGATAGTTTTCCATTACATTCAAATATTGGAAACTGGTTTGTTCTAGGCAGTTAATCAACCAGAATCTGAAACCACAGTTTGATTAGTCTGAACCAAATGTAGTTATAACAGTTTCCCATGTTTGGATGTAGCAGAAAACTATGGTCCATTAAAAATTGTGACAACCAAAGAATCATGGCAAGAAAAATTGATGGATTATGCAGAACTGGCACAATTGACATATAAGCTACGGGACAAGGATAACTGTGACTTTAAGGATGAATGGGAACCTTTCACAAAGTATTTGAAGACGCAACAAAGTGAATTGGACTCCTTGGCAGATTATGAATTTTAGGTGAGTTTTTATACAAGCCATTCTTCCAGCCTGAAGTGTTGTGTTTGTACACATATGTTGAGAGAGAGAGAGAGAGAGAGAGAGAGAGAGAGAGAGAAGACTTTCTTCATACAAGAGGAGAATTCTGCATTAAAATAAGGGTTAAAAGCCATTAATGAATTGATGGTGGGATGCAAATTTGAACTGAAGAATTGCCAGCTTACCTCATAGCCATGCTACCCCAGCTCTAGATGACCTAAAAGATACTTGCAAAATATCCTGAGGAAAAAACAACCAGTTTTCTATACCATGTTCACAGGTATTTAGGCTTATGCACAAAATCCACCATTGACAAATTTCAGGCATCAATTTTTTATTTTATTTTAAAATGAACTTACTTTCCAATGTTATCAGGTAATGCTTGTAGAGAGATATCATTTACAGAAAGACATGTTAGATTCTGCAGCTCAGGAAAGCTTTCAGGCAACCTAGAAAAATGAAAGTACAGATCAGCCAAGGACAGCAGAAAAGGACATTTCCCTCTCTCTCTCTCCTCAGCATCTTGCCATGGAGAAGCACTGCATGGTTTACATTGCAACAGCTAGGAGTTGAACTTTGCTCTGCTATTCTTCCAGTGCAATCCTTAAAACCAAAATGCCAGTTTGTCCAAACACAAATGGAAAAAGTAAATCATCTAAATTGTGCTAAGTGGTTCAGTTTAGTTAATCTTGTGTGTGTGTGTGTGTGTGTGTGTGTGAACATATATTTTCTTCTCCAATGTGTTGTTGTTGGAAAGGCCTTTCTTCCCACCACCTCCTTTGGATTGCTTTCATCATACAACTGTTTTCTCAAGGACAAAGAGGAAAAAAATAAAGCCTTCTCTCTCTTTACTACCAGGCAGCTTGGCCTGCAACAAGGCACACAGCACATGCTGTTTTTTTAAAAAAACAAATCAATAGTTCATTAAAGTGGAGCAGAGCCACAACACTGAATCCAACTAGACTGACAAAAGGCAAACATCAATCAGCTGCTGTGTCTTCTTTTCTTAGCCCTGCATGTGAGGAAGATGGCTGTCATTCACAGGAGCTCATTTCAATACAAGAATCTGCTGCAGATTAGATATCATCTCTCACGATCCTCTAGTTCAATCAAGGCTTAATTGCAGTGAAAGAAAGATTAACATCACTTTCTCCATGTAAATAATTAGCCCCTTAGGAGGCGATAAACAGCCTCTGTTCTTGTCTAAATGTATGTTGTGTGTTAAACAGGAAGCAGTTAGTTGTTGATGGGATCGATAAACAGAATAGGAAGTATTGCAGCTTAACTAAGGCTGCACTGCTTGCCTCAATCGTAATGCGCAAATGTTCAGGGGCTGAAAAAGCAATGAGGCAGCATAATGGACCACCCAAGGCAGAATATGATCAGCTTGCCCCATTCTCACTTGAGATTTTGTATTCTGGAACAGATTACAAATATTAATCCCTTGCATCGTTCTGAGCAGCACGTGCTGCACATTTAAACTGCCATTTTTCCTTGATAAAATGCACAAAGCAGACATCCCCCCCAGACATATATAATTGCTTGCATTCTGCTGAGAAAAACAGCAGCCATTCATAATTGTCATGAGGTGCCCGTATTTTGTATCCTGTGATGAAGCACACTAAGCCATGCAAAAAGTAGCACAGAGGTTCCTGAAGAAATCTGTTCACTTTCCTTCAGCATTTATGCATCACGCTCAGCCATTAATTTCCACCAGCTGCTACAGTCTTAAAAAAAATAATGGCCTCGGTTTAGAGGTGGTGTGTGCCCACATGCCTGAGCAGTCTCACAAATCATTAATAGTTCTTGAGAGGCTTCTCACATTCCCTCCCCCCAATTCTTTTCTGTGTAAGATCATCTGATTCAGTGTTCCATATTATTCTGGGGGATGCAGGTCTTTGGCACAGACAAAAGAAACACAGTTGCCAATACACACACCAACAGTTCACTGCCACAAAAAGAGGTTGCATTAAGCAGCATAGAAATGTCAAATTTTTCACTGGCTTTTGCCAAAAGGTTAATGGCCTTCCCACCATTCATCAATTCTGTTTTTAAAGTAGCAGTCATTGTTTCAAAAAGTGTTTCAAAAAGTGGTCCATCCACTTTTCATTTCATATTTTTCAATAATAATAATAATATATTCTTTATACCCCGCCCATCTGGCTGGGTTTCCCCAGCCACTCTGGGCGGCTTCCAACAAAACACTAAAATACAATAACCTATTAAACATTAAAAGCTTCTCTAAAGAGGGCTGCCTTCAGATGTCTTCTAAAAGTTTAGTAGTTATTTTTCTCTTTGACATCTGGGGGGAGGGCGTTCCACAGGGCGGGTGCCACTACTGAGAAGGCCCTCTGCCTGGTTCCCTGTAGCTTTGCTTCTCGCAATGAGGGAACCACCAGAAGGCCCTCAGCGCTGGCCCTCAGTGACCGGGCAGAACGATGGAGGTGGTGATGCTCCTTCAGCTATACTTTACCGAGGCCATTTAGGGCTTTAAAGGTCAGCACCAACACTGTGAATTGTGCTCGGAAATGTACTGGGAGCCAGTGTAGGTCTTTCAAGTCCGGTGTTATATGGTCTTGGCGGCTGCTCCCAGTCACCAGTCTAGCTGCTGCATTCTGGATTAGTTGTAGTTTCCAGGTCACCTTCAAAGGTAGCCCCACATAGAGCTACCTTTGAAGGGATTCAACAAAGCAGTTTTGTATGCAGAATGAGATCCACTTGCACAACGGGACTTCAACCCCCTTTACCACTCTAAGTCTATTTCAATCAGGAAGTTAGTGGAACCCCAGAACAGGTTGAGGAAGGCATGAGAGGAAGAGAGGGGTGCAAGTCCAGTATTGCAAGTGAATCTTGTTCCCCACATGCATGCTTCCATTTAGCAAAGTGTTGGATTCTGCCATCAAGTTTTATTATTGTATTTTGTGATCTTCTTATGCCACCATGGGCTCCTGCAGAGGAAGGGCACAACAGAAAACTGTCAAGTTCAAGCAAAATAGAAGATTACCTTTACACACAAGACTTCTAAGACCTGAACACTTTTTGCAATTTTACCATTCACTCCTTTTTATGAAGATTACCTGGTGAGTGGGTTCCCACTGAAGTCTGCTACCTGTAATGATTTGCAGAAGGAAATGCTTTCAGGGATTTCAGGAATATCTGCAAGGGAGAAAACAAAGAGTAAGAAACAGCAACCAAGAATCTACCATACCATCTCTGTTTCAGAATCAAAGAATGGTATTCAACTCAGCTTTACTTAGAGCAGACCCAGTGAAATGAATGAACCTGACTAAATTAGGCCCATTATTTTCAATGGGTCTGCTCTGAATAATGAGCAAATACCACCTTCAGTGCATTTTAGATCCTACAAAGCAATACAACTTTGTAAGATACTGTCTGGTAAATATCTTTCTAAAAGCAATGATAGATATTGGTTTGCATTTATATATAGACCTATCATTTAGGGATTTCAGTGGAATCCAAAATGAACAAGCCATTGTGGCTCCACTAGCATTGTGTTTTACATCACCCTTTTCTCTCCCCTCATGTTAACACACCCTTGGCAGTGTTAAACACAGCTAAAGTTGCATGCAATTCCCGTTTAGGTGAAAAGGAAAACAAGCCTCTGACTGTTTTAGTAGCTTGGAAAGAGGAATGCAGCATAATCACAGCCATGAAGAACCAAGTCAGTTTTTGACACCAACCTCAAAAGAAAAGTCAATTTGCACTCAGGGACACCACACAAGATTCCTTGGAGGTGGAATGGGAAGCAGAGGGCAAGGAGATTCTCAACAAGGTTTAAAAAGGTGGAGCTGTATATATTCTAGATTGCCATTATAATTTAATTGCAAAATAAAGTAGACTGGACAATAAAAGCAGGGCAGGACAATATCAATCTACACACGCACACACACTCCCCCAACCAACCAGAAGCAGCAGATGATAGGAACATAACAAAATATTTCTGAAGCAGAAAAAAACATAGAATTACAGAGCTGGAAGGGACCCCAAGGGTCATCTAGTCCAAACCCCTGCAATGCAGGAATCCCAGCTAAAGCATCCATGACAGATGGCCATCCAACCTCTGCTTAAAAACCTCCGAGGAAGGAGAGAACACCACCTCTGGTGGGAGTCTGTTCCACTGCCAAACAGCTCTTATGGTCAGAAAGGTTTTTTCCCCTGAATGTTTAGTCTGACTTACATTAAGTTTTGCGCTTGCATGATAGCTAAATATGAAGATTAATTTCTAACACTCATTGTTAACCAGTTCCAATCCCCTGGAATACCCAGCCCTGAACACCAATGAATGCTGCTCTATAAACATGTGACATACAGATGCTCTGGCAAACAGTCAGTACACAGACACTGCTGAACAACAAGGCTATATAAACTCTGTGACACAGGACAGCGCAAACAGGCACATTGTCAGTGAATGTTAGGCCAGCTGAAGCGAGAAAACCAAGCAAGCAGCCTTCTGCATATAAAGTCACATGCACACCATATGTTCGAAGCGCTCTTGTACTGCTTTAATAGTCACGGTTTCCCCTTAAAGAATCCCGACAACTGTAGCTTATTAAGGGGTGTTAAGAGACACCTCGAAGAGTTACAGTTTCCATCGCCCTTGAACAACAGTTGCCAAGAGTCAATGTGCCATTTTAACCATCACTGTTAAAATGGTACAGTGGTACCTCGGGTTACATACGCTTCAGGTTACATACGCTTCAGGTTACCAGTTAACCCAGCTAACCCAGAAATAGTACCTCGGGTTAAGAACTTTGCTTCAGGATGAGTACAGAAATCGTGCTCTGGCAGTGCGGCAGCAGCAGGAGGCCCCATTAGCTAAAGTGGTGCTTCAGGTTAAGAACAGTTTCAGGTTAAGAACGGACCTCCGGAATGAATTAAGTACGTAACCAGAGGTACCACTGTATAGGGGTGGATGTACAGCAGGCAAGGCCTAAGATTATGCCTTTTTCCATTTTCTAGGCACAGTTGTCTTCTCATTATTTGCTGCCACAGCTTCAAATATGAATTGTACCCATAGCTGATCTTAAAAGTCTAATCTTAAAGAAGTGTACAAGTTTAATTAGGAACATAATGTAATGCTAGTTATTCACACTGCTTCACTAAAATGCTACCGAGTTTGATATAACTTTGCTTTAATCACTGCAAGTGAAATGCTAGACGTTATGAGTTGAGGCACTGAGGCAAGAAAGGAGGGACGGGGGGCGTGTAAATATGGCTGTGTGCACAGAGATGCATTGTGCTTCATATTCTTCACCCCCCCTCCCTCCCTCCCGTGAGGTTCCTATAAGCAGAGGCTGAAGTTTTCTTTTCTCTGCACAGCCACTCTGCTCTGGCAGAAGTTTGAAACTGCGCTTAAAATGTTAGCTTATTTGTACAGCAAAATTACATAATGATGGGTCATGACGACTTACCGCATTTACATTAAGGACAAATGAGAGCAGTTTAAAACAAAAAAATACAAAAAACCTGCAGACTCTGCCAAGTTATCATTATTAGGCTATGCATTTCAGAGGAGAAAGGTATATGGGCTTTATGGGCTTAGGAAAAAACTAACCCAGCATAGGTGCCCTGTATGACTATCACCTCCCCAAATGCCCTTCCTAAGCTGCATTGCACCACTTCCAAACAACTTCCAAGTTCTACCATTTTAGATGGATGAATCAGCAAAAGCCACAATTGTGTGGACTTGAAGTCACCCCACTCATTGTCTCCTTCTCATACGATTTCATACACACACCACATTCATCTACTGTGGTACCTTGGGTTAGGAACTTAATTCATTCTGGAGCTCTGTTCTTAATCTGAAACTGTTCTTAACCTGAGGTACCACTTTAGCTAATGGGGCCTCTCTCTCTCTCTCTCTCTCACACACACACACACACACACACACGAGTTGCTACATTCACACATACCACTCATCCACTGCCAAGTCATCTCTCTCTCTCTCTTTTTCCCCCCTGCCCACACCATCCCTCCTCCTCTCACCCACACTTTACCCCTGAGCCTACTTGGTTGGGAAAGGGGATTCAGCATGAAAACTTCCATTGGCAAAAATGCAACCTTTTCCTCCATATCTAACAGGGGGGAATCTTCAGAGGGGACCACTGTGTGCAGGGAGGGCTTAACCCTCCTCTCTCCCCAGTGGCTGCCACCCTGAAAATCATCACTGCCATCCTAGGGCAATTAGGTTTAGATAAAATGGTCCCTGTTTGCATAAATGGGGTCCTTTTTTCTAAGCTTAATTGGTGCATGGGGGTTGGGCTGAGGAAGGAAAACTGTAGCTGAATCCAAGGCAGAGATGGCAACATCTGGCTCATTGGTCAGAAATTCTCCAACCCTGTTCTTCAGCATATATAGATGTTGTAGCAGTCCCGATAAATTTATTTTAAGCAACAAATTTATAGGCCACTTTACAGGGGGGGAAATCATCAAAAGAGTGTGCATAATAAAAAAGGAAAACACAAGCTCTAAGAACAATGAAAGCAAGTCAACAAACTCTAAATCAATAAAGCTAGATGGAATAGATAATGTTAGCCATTCTACCAGGTGTTGAACTTAGAACTTGAACATTTCAGTTACTCTTCTAGTTGTTTGCAAATGTGTGTAAATATTTGCATATTTTTAAAAGTGGTTCAGTATTAACAAATATAGCTAACTTTCATACCACACCCTTGCATGCAATATGTCATAATGCTACCTGAGAAACCTGTAAAGGAAGATTTTTTTCCAGGGTTTTTTAAAAAGTGGGAGGTGCAAGAAATAATTAATCCGCATTACCTACTTCTTCATCCTTTATATTTACATTGAACAGTAAACCTATAAATCAACATTTACTCCATCACACTTCAGCTATGGAGTTGACCTGTTAAGAAACATACTACTACAATCCTTACACACACAACAGCAGTCCCACTTAATTAGAAAATAAAAGTGACTGAGTTTGTGATGGCTCATTGAAGGTCACTTCTAGACTGTTGTTATTTTTCAGTAGGAGTCAACCACATACCAGCAAATCCACGATACATAACAAAGCCACTTCCAAAAATAAAAATTGGAAAGTCCCAGGGGAAAACACTAGAAATCATAGGATAACAAGTGTTTCATGTGACTTTGTATAACCTCCCCACAAACAAATCAGAATGAATGCTCAACCAACGGTGGATGTTGCATAACCGCCCCAGAAACTTTGTGTCAACAAACCAGGATTAATGCTTTAAAAAGGCAGGTAATTTAGAAACAGCCAATGATTCCAGTATGACAGTATCAAAGAGTCACTTAGCAATGGGAAAGTCTTACAGTGAGAGTGTGGAACATAGCAAATGCTCAACAAAAAGTACCGTAGTCTATCTTAGCTGCTCACTCAGCTTTTTGTGAAATCACTCCTTATCACTCTGCAGCAAAACACCAAGAATACTGAAAGACAAATAGTGCTTGGGAAAGCAATAGGTTCAACTTTTTAGGAGATATGTATCACTCTGTTCACAATAGACAGGACACTCAGTTTCAGGCCTTTAAAGCCCCAACATAGTGTTTGTGACTGGGTTCCCACCTTGCTGTAAACACTTTGGAAGAGAAGGGACAATGAAAGTAGACATTTAGATGATCAAATGGGCAACCCAACATCTATGGAGTGGGAAGGACACATTCTAGTGTTGTTTTCATGAGATGGAAGTCTGTTTGAGTGAGCTGTGCTCAGAAGGGTGGCCTTTAAATAATTCTATAAATTAAAAAAAAAACTAAAACTGCTGCAATATCTCTGGGAGAGGTAGGCTGGACAAACACTTTAAAACTCCAAGCATAAAGGACAACACTGAAAAAGAATAACACACATCCTTAAACCTTACAGACACTTAATAGTAAGGAAGAAGTTGTTTTGGAGATACTGAGGCACAGCCAAGAATCGAAAGAGCAGCTTCTGTTTCCCCATAATTAGGGTTTTCCAAGGTCTGAGGCCTTGCTGCTCTTGCATGTACAACCCCTGCTTTTGCCACTGCTTCCCTAAGCAGCAGCAGTAAGCTGCCAAGAACAAGAAAGAAACCAGACCTATTTTGTTTTGCCAGGAGGGGTGTGGCAGCTGTCTCCAGCTAGCTTGACTTAGCTTGAGACTGAAGTTTGGAGAGACCCTTACAGAATGGTCCTCTGAACATGCAGGCTTAGAATCTTTTGACTTATTCTAAAAGACTCAAGGAAGGGACCCCTGCAATGCGACAGCCTAATACCTATGTGGAACTAACAAAAGAATAGTAGCAATTGCAATGCTGTCATTTGACTTGAGCTTTTTTACACATCCAAAGTGCTTCGCTTCCATTCTCTTGCTGTAAATCGTACAGTAACTCAACAGGGGTACAATAACCCAACAGGCCCAGTGAGACACACACACATGGCCTCCCCACTTGGCTCTCAAGTCCATTTCAAGTCAAGCCATGGCCACCCACCATCATCTGCTGGGCAGGTAAAAACATGGCTAAGCTGAAATGCTTTTTCCTAATTGTCAGGTCTTTAGAAGCCCCTTACAAAGCTCCATCTTGTGCAATGCTCTGCAAGTCCTATACTGGCAAATGATCACCCAACAGCTCACCTGTCTAACTTGGCCCAAGAAGGGTAGGGAAAATAATGATCTAGTTCCCCACCCTAAGCCAGTACTATTATCCTCCATATTGCCTAAAGTCATTTAGCGAGTTAATAATAGATTCAGATTTTAGAACAGGGACTTCCTGATCCACAACTATGTTCCTTAGCTGTGTTTATACCAGTTACAGAGAATACTATTACCATGCCTCTTTCCTTTCTCTCATGGCAGCCTCTCTTCAGACTGCTAATTTCAATCATTCTGTCTATCCATACCCTTTGAGCATGTGAGTGATGCCTCTCCATACAAATTTTAATATTTTTTTATAAGACAGACCTCTGCAAATGTCAAACTTCTCTTGACAAAGTCTTTACAAAAACAGATACTGGAAACATGTTATGTAGTTTCAACAGCAGAATTTTTTTTATTTTTTTTAAGGTACTGCGCTCTGCTGGAGTATCTCAATGAAGGTAATCTTCGCCACTGTCAGATACTTGGCACCTTCAACCCAATAATGTTCCACCCAAGTTATTTTTCCAGCTAGAACATTATTCCCCAATGCCAAAATGTTGATACTATAGGCTTGTCTGCACTATATGCTTCATGGAGACAGCTTAAAACTACCATTCCCATAATGGTTTGCCTTTTTCTTATCTACCATAGCACACAGAACAATCAAGGCATTGTATTTGGGCATCACATGAAAGTTCCCCATTCTTCTGGCACTTCAGCCTCCTAGCAGCTGGTCTCCCACAGGAAGTGGCAAAACCTCTACATGCCACAGTGACAAGTGAGGCAGCTCAAAGAGGCAGTTTCAAGGGGCCTCAGTGCAATCAATAGAACGTCTAGACAAGGTGCGGGCAACCTTTATGGCCCAGAGGCATGTGGGGGGGATTTCAGCAATCCCATCATGCACCTCTCTCTCCCTGCCTAGCTTCTCAGTTCTCCCCAAAGACTGGGAAGCAGAGATGTGTGAAATGGGCAGAGAGATGGGGAGCAAGGTGAAAAGGGGGAGTTATCCCATGTACCAGTGGAATAACAACAACAACAATATTAAAAGCTTTGCAGTCATTGGACTAAGGGAACTAGAGTAGTGCCCTAAATGTTCCCCTGGTGCCCCCTTCCCAAAGCCTGGGAAGCTTCTGCCTAGCTAACGGAGGGAGGTGCGAGGTTCTGTTGGGTCCGAGATCTGTCCTGCCATCTTCCCAAAGCCCATCCAACTTTTAGAAGGAAGCAGAAGAGCTCCAGGATCCTGCCAGAGCCCTGGAGATGCATCACATCATATTCATGACACTGACACCCCCCCCCCCAACGGCCCTTGCAAGCTAGTGCCTCTGGCCCTAATTGTTCCCCTATGAAAAATTTCACTGCACTCCACTGCCATGCACCTTCCGGCACATGCAAATTTTGCTCCCAGCAGTCTGGCAAGCAGTTGTTGGACAGGCTGAGGGAAGCACAAACATTCAGGAGTGGCAGTAGGGATGGGTATTCCATGGTGGGCTTCAGAAAAGGCCTGTGTGGACCACAGGTTGCCCACCTGTGGCCTAGCCTATTTCATCACCCAGGAAGGAAACCTTATTACTCGATACTGGAAATGTGAAGATGCATGTAAGCCAACATGTTAGGAAGGAAACAAGACTAATGCTTAGAGCCTATGTGCTGGTTTAGCCCTTCACCTGTGTGGGTTTCAATTGGGGTGGGGGTGGGATGCAAACATGCAACCCATGACTTTTCCAAGTAGGGAGAGAGTAAATGCAGTTCGATTTGGCTAAACAGTTCTGTGTTGAGGTACTTAAACTTGACTCGCCATGAACAATCCTTAAAACAATTCCTTATAGAAGATGTATGTATTCATATAATCAGGCTTACCATTTCGAGACAGATCAAGTTCTACCAGCTGCATAAAGTTTGCTATCTCTGGAGGAAGCCGCTGAATTTCATTATCACTAAGCCCGAGTTTTCGTAACTTTACAAGCTGAAAGAAAGGCTGAAAGAGAAAATAATTATCCATTGTTAAGTGCATATACAAAAACTGCAGGTAGTCATGTTAGTAGTCCATTAAAAAATAAACCCAGGCGGTATAGCAAAGACCATTTAATGTTCCCTAGTTAGTGACACTTTAAGTCTCACTCTTTGACAGAGACTGCCCAGTGTGGAATATCCCCTGTGAGTACGCATGCATGGGGTCAAGTCTGAATGACATCATTAACATGTGAGCCAATTTGGCCAAAGCTAACATTGATGGTGTTTCTTTGCCGCTAAAATTCCCCTTGCCTGAAATAGTGTTAAATATATAATTGTGATCACAGTGAATTCATCCGAAGCATCTTTTCAATTACTCGCAATGAAGATTTCATTACTTAATTTACCAGACTTAAGGAAATCAGCCCTGAGTGCTCACTGGAAGGACAGATCCTGAAGCTGAGGCTCCAGTACTTTGGCCACCTCATGAGAAGAGAAGACTCCCTGGAAAAGACCCTGATGTTGGGGAAGATGGAGGGCACAAGGAGAAGGGGATGACAGAGGATGAGATGGTTGGACAGTGTTCTCGAAGCTACCAGCATGAGTCTGACCACACTGCGGGAGGCAGTGGAAGACAGGGGTGCCTGGCATGCTCTTGTCCATGGGGTCATGAAGAGTCGGACACGACTGAACGACTAAACAACAGCAACAAAGACTTTGTCTCGTCACCCAAAGACTATTCTTACTTTCTAAATCACATCAATTGAACGAATGGAGGAGAGCGCAAAATTGTTTGCATCAGCCCTTCCTCCCAACACGTTTCATGTTTACCACTGCACAACCAACAATAAGGCTCTCACTCTCCTGATCCCCATGCACTCCCAGGCAGGCACTCCCTTGGTCAGGTTGCCTATTTCTGCAAGCTAAGTTGCTTATATCACTATATAACAGTGCTCTGTCCTCATAACCAGTATATCTGAACAAATTCACTCCTTTTTTATTCCAACTGGGTATTACAAACTGTGCAGTGGTAGCATACAATTGTCACGTAAAAGGTGCTGCTGCCTTGTTTTAATTTATTCAAATGGGGTCAGAAATTCATGGCTAGATTGTCCTTTTTTTCGCCACAGCTTGCTGCAACAGTAAGGCACACAGGATGACTTCCAGCATTCCACATAGTTGGATATTCATCTAATTAATTAATACTGGCTGATTAATATTCTGCAGCCTTTCTTTAATGTGCCTGTGGGAGGGGGGTTATTGTTTTGCAGTTTCATTTTACTTATTTACTTGTTTTATTCTGTGGACAGCCCTGAGAGCTTATGATGGATGGTACATAAATCTAATAAATAAATAATAAATAAATAATTAGTTCTGGAGCAGTGTAAGTGCACACATCTCTATTCAGCTGGAGAGAAGTGGTTCTGCATACATTTCCCTTTACTGTGGTACCTCGGGTTAAGAACTTAATTCGTTCTGGAGGTCCGTTCTTAACCTGAGGTACCACTTTAGCTAATGGGGCTTCCCACTGCCACCGCGCCACCGCTGCACAATTTCTGTTCTCATCCTGAAGCAAAGTTCTTAACCTGAGGTACTATTTCTGGGTTAGCGGAGTCTGTAACCTGAAGCGTCTGTAACCTGAGGTACCACTGTACAAGCACGAAACCATACCATTCATTGAAATGGATGAGAATTCCATTGTAAATGCATAGGAACTCATCACAATTCTCCCGAAGAATTCAGGCACCAGGAAGGAGAAGAAAGCATTTTTTCTAACAAGGTGGTGGAAGAAAAAGGTACAAGCATATTTCATTCCTGTCATATAAATCTAGAGCACATCTGCACAGTTTGTGACACACCAGAGTAGATCACAAGCTGTGGGGTGGCTTAATAAATCTTTTCTTTGTTGCAAAAACAGCTGTGCTGGCAGGCAAGAGGCAAGCTAATGTGCTGCGTTCAGCTTAATGGGCCCACAGGCTGGACAGATCTGCTCTAGAGGAAATAAAATTGTTTAAACACATATATTATGTTAATTTTTAAAGTAGAGTCGACAACACTGTGTTGCAAATCAGAAGGGTGCATTTTGGGGATTCCTGGAGATAAGGATCAAAAGATTCTGTATCCCTTAGGGGCAAACTTACAACTTGATGTGTTTGCTGTTGCTGAAGAGATAAGAAAACACTCTTCCTTGCTTCTTCCTCCACATGCCAAACCTTACCTGCTTTAACCCAAGTGTGTTTTGATATTATTAAAAGTAGCAGAATAGAAAGTGTGCCTCCCACCACCACCCAAAAATATGCAAATATTGTGGACAGTTTTTAATTAAGCTGAATGAAGCATTCAGGTTTTGAATTAAGTGATACAAATTCTAAATATTTAGAAGGATATTGTAAATCAGGGGAGCTTGCATCCAAACTGATGTTTTGAAAATGAAGGTAGTAAAATGTACTACTTCCACATCATTTGTTTTGTTCTATTATTGAACAGTGAATATATGTAGTGATTCTGACACCCACATACAATAGAAGTATTAGAAAGTTGCTGGTACCATACACTGCCCATTTTAAGGTTTCTATGTGGCATGCAATGAAATGTTTTGCTTATAATCCTCCTGTGATTAGTACTTTGTGCTGACCCCAAGCTGTCTGCAGTAGCTTAGCAAAAAAAGGTCAACATTTGTAAAGTCAAAGCTAGTTTAGAAGCAGCCTGACCGAAAGAGACAAGGAGAATGAGCAACTTAGGACGGTCCAGGAAATATGTTCTGTGCACAAGAACGGCAACCAATTTGCATAATCTTTTAAAAGCACAACTTAAAAATCCATAATGTGAAATGGCACATTGACATCAGACATTTATTTTGTTTATCTTCCCTCTTCCTACCACCACCACCACCTTGCAGAAATGATATCAAGAGCTCTCAAGTCGTCAGATGAGATGAACAGGCAGAGCCATAAACCACGCCTCCAGTAAGTGGAAGCTACCACCACCTGACTTTGTCTTTCCTCCCAGCATGCTGCTTACAAAAGCCACAAGCTATATACAGTAACTTCAGTATGGTGTGCATGCATAAAAATCTGGTGTGTATAGGTTTGGATCACACTGCTGACACCTGAATTTTACTTGGGATACCACTTGTGCTAGTCAAGCCTGCATTCTGTACACAACAACCTATTCAAATATTGCATCCCATACATGTTACATGAGGAAGTCTTACATGAACAAACTTCCGAGAAGTCTCCCTCACGCTAGCAATCCTCCTCAGCTTGTGGACAGAACAGGTATGCAATATCTTACTCATTGTGTGCAAACAGCTTTTAATCAAGACGACTGTTTTTATAGAGATTCATGTGGTGATTCAAATCAAAACCCTGAACAAAAAAAGGAAGGGAATCTCACTGCACTTTCTTCCTCCTTTTTCCTTCTCCCACTCCACCCTGAATATGATCCCAAAGGACTCCCAGAGACAGGACCCACTTTTTCAGAACACTTGGCATGGCATTCTCATAGCATCCTCTGCCATTTCATTGAACCTCTGGGCTGCTCCAACCTAGAATATAATTCAGCTTCAAAACTTTGTACCACTACCCATTACTGAAATGAGTGCTCACCTGTACGTAGGTGATTTGTGGTTTTAGCCTTTTTTTTGTAATTATTGCTTAGGACTTTTAAAAATGTACTTACACCCATGTGCCTGTGGGCAATGGATGCATCTTATAAAATGTTACAGCAATGATTGTAAGCTTCCCTTATTCAGTCTAAAGATGTAGTGGTTACACTGCACGCAAGTATAGTGTTAGTAATTTGTGACTGTTTTCCTCCATTTGCTAAGGCCCAGTAGGTAGATCAGGGCAGAGGTTTCCTAACACATGCACACACCCCTTTTAGAGCCAAGGGAAACATTTGGAAATTTTAGAAACTGTTGCGGGCACCACAAAATACCCATTTCACAGAAGAAAAACTGGCGGTGCTCAGAACCAACCCCACAAACAGGCAAAACACCCACCTCCAACCAAAAAGACAGACAAAAGCAGGTAACCCTTGCAAGCCAAAAAGCAATGATTTTAAGAAACTGGGACAGAATATTTTGTCAGGTGCCAAGGGAGGTTTTGAGTGTGATGTTGGGAATTCCAGGGTTAGTGGTTATGGTGCATATGGTGCAGCTATGTGATATAGCTAAGAATATATTCCGTCACACCTCTGTGATTAATGCAGCAGTTTTCTTGAAGAAGGAGAACCAGATCTGTCATCCGCTTTTAAGTCACCTCAGTTTTAATGAGTGCATGAGCTTTTAGCCAATAGCTGAGAACTGAAAAAGATGAGCATTTGCCCCTCCCTCCCACAATTTGTATTGGACATCCATCCATTTAAAAGATGTAGTCACAGAAACAGGAACAGCCCTTTGTTTTTGTTGTTTAACATAAATGGGACCAAACCCCATACAAAACATCCAAACACCAACCTGGCGGGGAGTGGAGTTGCTGTTTTAGGAGGCAGCCCAGCACAGAATCAAGGGGAAATATTTCAAATTCCTCAAGCACCAGGAGCAATTTTCAAGGTGCCTAGGATTTTTCCAGCCACACAACACAAATCTGCTGCTGTGGTGCATTAAGAAAGGATGCACAGGGTCACCCTGCAAGGATCACTTACTCACCCTCTGCACACACTCTCTAACAAAATCACTGAGATTATCTGCTGGTGCATCGTTGGTCATTAGCCAAGTAGGTGAGGCTCATTTGACAACAAGCAACCTAGCCTTTAGTTTCATAAACACAGTCCTGCAGAACACTCTACCGATAGAGAGGCAACAGGCTCCTTCTGTTCCAACTTTGAAATGCCTGCTGAAAGCTTTTCTATTTCATCAGGCTTTTTTAGGCACTTAAGAATACAACTTTTAAATGGTTTTATGTTAAATTTGATGTTGGTTTGTTTAAAAGTTTGTAAAATTCAATAAAAATTAATTGGCAACAAAAAAGCAACACCTTTCCACAATAGTTCTCTGATTTCAAAAACATTACATGGGATTTATTGTATCGGTTTTATGTAAAGTTGCTGTGAACTGTTTTGATATTTTCTTTAAGATTTAGCAGTATATAAATGTTTTTATAGCTACATTAATGTTCTTAACATTTTCCGTTCATTCCCGATCATGTAAAATTGAATTAAAGCATACTAATCAAGGGCTACCCACTAGCCAGTCTAAACATTACTGATACCAAACAGAGATCACTTTCAAATCACCCTCACTGCAGCTGTTATTTCAGACAGATAGTGTACAGCAGCTACCTCATGCAGCCTGGTGATTTTCTCTGTACCAGTGGAAGCATCTGAAAATGCTATGTGCCAGTGCGGTGGAGGGGGAAAATCACACCAGCTATATCATGACCTTTTACTTTCAGTAGCTTATCACTGCCAGTAATAGATGCCACATAGAGCAATTAACAGTAGTCCTTTCTTACTTAATTGTACACATGTAGACAGTTTTGCCAACAAACCAGGGTGTAAAACCATCTCACAGAAATTGCAGATTTAACACCTTAGCTGTTTTTTGTTTTTTAACACATGGCAAGTGTTATAAGCATGGTTCTCACTGTGTGTCCCTCCCCCTTAAATTTCTGTCTCATTCTTTCTCCAAAAGAAGTGCAGAGTGGCAAACAACCAAGCCATATAATACAAAAAAGCTGTCCGCCTTATCTTTTAATGCTTCTAAGACTTTAATAGATGCCTTGTTCAATTTGTACTCTTTCACAGAATGGTATTTCGTAATTAGTAACACAGGTTAGACAACAGAGGTAGGGGAGGCATTAAAGAGTGCAAACCTTTGCAGGATCATGCTGAAACCAAAACATCCATAAAATCTGGGCGTGGCTCACCCACTTGAGATCTGGCAGGTGATCTCAAGTCTAACAGGATTAGCAAAATAAGAAGATTGAAAAGGTAGACAAGAGGTAGAGTGAGCAGAATGACTGAACCCTCACCAAATGCTGGCACTTCCCTCTGACATCGCCAGTCTAGTCGTGGCAGCTGTGCTCAGAAAAGCTTCTCATCTGTGTGACCTACACTCCTACAAAGAGGCCAATTTTGAGCCCGTCTACATTACTGCAGACCCACTTGGGGGTGAGGAGGGAACGGGGAAGCAACTCAACAGAAGCGAGGGCCTTCTGTCACAGACAATTCAGAGTTACTGCAAAACCTAACTTCCACATGCTCACTTCAGTAATGCACTGAAATCATTGCTTTGCTTTGTTTTCTTGTGGGCACAGATTTACTCCCACACACGAACACAACATGTAGAATGAGCAGCAAAAGCAGTGAAGATTAAAGAGCATCTGCTGCGAGACTCATCAGATCACAGCAGAGGGAGAAAGCTTTCACCTCCAGCTGCTGCAGAGGAAACCTATAATCATAGTTTGTTACTGGATGCTACCGAATCTGCGGCCAGTTTAACTGGAAACAGAGAAACAAGGACTGGGGCATACACTAGCAAGCTGGATAGTCATGCTCAGCAGCGGGAAAGGGGAAGAGAGAATGTAGACAGATTACTTCCATTACCAGAAGTGCCATGGAGAATAAGTAAACAACCCAGCCTGCCACTTTGTATAAGTAATTCTTGCACAACCAACCACAAAACTGAACAACATAACAATGTAGCACAAAAGAAAGAAAACATTAAATACCTTGACTTTGCCTTATAGTCCCCTGAAAGTGAATTGAATGGTACAAACTTTCCCTTTAAGAAACAATATTTTTTGGAGTTTTACAGGTCTGTGCCATTGCTGTTGTTTTTTAAAAAGCCTTCAGAAGTTATCAGTGAGGGAACTACCTAGTTTGAGACTGATGGAACCTGATGTGTTCCCGAATGCTCAGGGAGATTTTGCAGTGGGGGAAGCTGGCCATTCTGTCGAAGCCCTGCTCTCGCTATGCAGTGCAAAGATGAAATGGGCAGCCGACACAATTGCTGACTCCTTGGCATTCTGGGGAACTTCAGACTAAGGAAGCATGCTGGACGAAGACGAGAGCACAAATCTCACTCCAAAGCCAACTAAACACTGGCTAGTGCAGGTACACAGCCCAGCCCTGTGGTGCTTCTGGGACCAGCTCTGTCAATGGAGGCCCCGGTAGCCCTAGTGGCTAGAAGCACCTTTTATCAGCTGCACCAGCTATGACCACCCCTGGAGAGCTTGGCTACAGAAGTTCAGGCAGTGGTGGCTTTGAAACTAGATTACTACAATGAAGAAGAAGAAGAAGAAGAAGAAGAAGAAGAAGAAGAGGAGGAGGAGGAGGAGGAGGAGGAGGAGGAGTAGTAGTAGTAGTAGTAGTAGTTTGGATTTGATATCCCGCTTTATCACTACCCTAAGGTGTCTCAAAGCAGCTAACATTCTCCTTTCCCTTCCTCCCCCACAACAAACACTCTGTAATAATAATAATAATAATTTATTATTTATACCCCGCCCATCTGGCTGGGCTTCCCCGGCCACTCTGGGCGGCTTCCAAAAGAATATTAAAATACTATAATACATCAGACATTAAAAGCTTCCCGAAACAGGGCTGCCTTCAGATGTCTTCTAAAAGCCTGGTAGTTGTTGTTCTCTTTGACATCTGGTGGGAGGGTGTTCCACAGGGAAGGCGCCACTACCGAGAAGGCCCTCTGCCTGGTTCCCTGTAACTTGGCTTCTCGCAGTGAGGGAACCGCCAGAAGGCCCTCAGTGCTGGACCTCAGTGTCCGGGTAGAACGATGGGGGTGGAGACGCTCCTTCAGATATACTGGACCAAGGCCGTTTAGGGCTTTAAAGGTCAGCACCAACACTTTGAATTGTGCTCGGAAACGTACTGGGAGCCAATGTAGGTCTTTCAACACCGGTGTTATGTGGTCTCTGCGGCTGCTCCCAGTCACCAGTCTAGCTGCCGCGTTCTGGATTAGTTGTAGTTTCCGGGTCACCTTCAAAGGTAGCCCCACATAGAGCGCATTGCAGTAATCCAAGCGGGAGATAACCAGAGCATGCACCACTCTGGCGAGGCAGTCCGCAGGCAGATAGGGTCTCAGCCTGCGTACCAGATGGAGCTGGTAAACAGCTGCCCTGGACACAGATTTGACCTGTGCCTCCATGGACAGCTGTGAGTCCAAAATGACTCCCAGGCTGCGCACCTGGTCCTTCAGGGGCACAGTTACCCCATTCAGGACCAGGGAATCCTCCACACCTGCCCGCCTCCTGTCCCCCAAAAACAGTACTTCTGTCTTGTCAGGATTCAACCTCAATCTGTTAGCCGCCATCCAACCTCCAACCGCCTCCAGGCACTCACACAGGACCTTCACTGCCTTCACTGGTTCTGATTTGAAAGAGAGGTAGAGCTGGGTATCATCTGCATACTGATGAACACCCAGCCCAAATCCCCTGATGATCTCTCCCAGCGGCTTCATGTAGATGTTGAAAAGCATGGGGGAGAGGACAGAACCCTGAGGCACCCCACAAGTGAGGGCCCAGGGGTCTGAACACTCATCCCCCACCACCACTTTCTGAACACGGCCCAGGAGGAAGGAGCGGAACCACTGTATAACAGTGCCCCCAGCTCCCAGCCCCTCAAGACGGTCCAGAAGGATGTTATGGTCGATGGTATCAAACGCCGCTGAGAGATCCAGCAGAACTAGGAAACAGCTCTCACCTTTGTCCCTAGCCCGCCGGAGATCATCAACCAGTGCGACCAAGGCAGTTTCAGTCCCATGATGAGGCCTGAATCCCGACTGGAAGGGATCCAAATGGTCCGCTTCTTCCAGGCGTGCCTGGAGTTGTTCAGCAACCACTCGCTCAATCACCTTGCCCAAGAATGGAAGATTTGAGACTGGGCGATAGTTGGCTATCGTGGCCGCATCTAAAGATGGTTTTTTAAGAAGCGGTTTAATAACCGCCTCTTTCAGCGGGTCTGGGAAGGCTCCCTCATGGAGGGAAGCATTCACCACCCCACGAAGCCCATCGCCCAGTCCTTCCCGGCTAGCTTTTATAAGCCAGGATGGGCAAGGATCAAGGAGGCAAGTGGTTGGTTTCATTCGTCCAAGCAGCCTGTCCACATCCTCGGGGGTAACAGATTGGAATTGATCCCACACAACTTGACTAGACAGGACTCTAGCACTCTCCCGCCCCGGCCCTGCTCCCACGGTGGAGTCTACCTCTTCTCGAATCTGAGCGACTTTATCTGCAAAAAAACTTTGCAAAGTCATTGCAGGAGATCATGTGGCCGCTACTGGGCCCTGATGGAGCAGGTGGTTCCGCTAAATTGTGAACCACCTGAAAGAGTCTCCTGCTGCTGTTTTCCGCAGATGCAATAGAGGCGGTGAAGAAAGTCTTCTTCGCCGTCGCTATCGCCACTTGGTAGGCTTGACATTGAGCTCTAACCCGTGTCCGGTCAGATTCAGAATGGGTTATCCGCCACCGGCGCTCTAGCCGTCTCAACGATTGTTTCATTGCCCTCAGATCCGTGGAAAACCACGGGGCTGTCCGGACTCCATGCAATCAGAGAGGGCGCTTTGGAGCCAAACAGTCAATAGCCCTGGTTAACTCCACATTCTGTGAGGTAAGTGGGGCTGAGAGATTTCAAAGAAGTGTGACTAGCCCAAGGTCACCCAGCAGCTGCATGTGGAGGAGCAGGGAATCAAACCCGGTTTGCCAGATTGTGAGTCCACCGCTTTTAACCACTACACCACACTGGCCCTTTATGAGGAGCTTCCCAAGACACCATCAGCATATAGAACCCGATTTGTTACTGGGCCACATTCTAGGCATCACTATCTGTATTTAAAACTGTATTGTGACCAGTTTACTTGCAGGATTGCCCTACCCTATGGATGCCCCCTTGAACACTTTGATCTGCAGCACTGTTACTGTTCCAGGTGCCACATAATACGCATTCCAAGCTTGCAGTAAATTGGGCTTCTAGGCTGTTGCATCTACGCTTAGGAACTGCCTTCCTCTACACTGTATTCTTTTTGGTGCCTGCTTGAAATATTTTTGTTTAGGACAAGCCTATCCAGACATGTAGAAGTAGTATTAGAAACTTAAATATATAATCTAATTGCCAAATGGCACCTTAGACCTAGGTTATGGTTGCCACAATGGAATATCTAGGTGGTTTGGGGGGGGTTGCAATGAGATTTGTTGTTGTTTTCATTTCTACACTGCTTTATATTTTAAAGAAAATACATCAAAGTGGTTTGCAACACATTAAAACATCAAATAAAACAATCTAGAATAAAACAAATTCAAAGGAAACTATTTCAGGTCCTTCTGTAAGTGACATTTTGCTTTCTCCAGTCATCAACCTGGCATCCAGAGATCTCCATGTGGTTGCAATTGGACCCACACCAGTCACAAAATGCACCTGGTGCCTGGCTAATTTCTAACATTGCAAAGAAGTTACATGTGTCTACTCTAATCTACTTAGAAGTTTTATTAAAACAAGCAATATATGAATTTTGTTAAATATATTCCCCCCCCCCTTAATTGCAAAGCTTTCATGAAGATGGGCAATTACTGAGTTAGTGCTCTGCATTAAGTAATTACAGCAGTTGTTGAAATCTGAAGTACGCCACACTCATTGCAGCTACTTTTAAAGCACTTGGGATTAATGAGAGAGAAAGAGATACTAATGATGTACAGAATGAAATCTCATGTCGCATCCCAAGAAGGAAAGGTCCACACTCCCTTCCTACCACTAATCTACACATTGTTGTCCACACAAATCTGGAGGCAGCAAGCATGTGAAGAGAAGAAATGTGTATGTGGACTATTTGGGGAAGGGGGATAGCTCAGTGGTAAAGCATCCAAAGCTCCTGGATTCTCCAGGTATGGTTGGGAGAGACTCCCTAGCTGAAACCCTGGAGAGCATCTTCCAGTCAGTATCAACAATACAAAGTAAGATGGACCAACAGTATAAGGGAGCTGCCTATGGTTCCTAAGAGATGACCTGAGATAATGGCAGAGGATGCATTTCATTTTTTGTAAGAATGCAAATTCATGATGCTAAGCGGTTCTGTATAAACATACAAACCTATTTGGGAGAGGGAAGAATTCAACACAGGGGTCACACAGGAAAAATGCAATGAACCTCCCACTAATTCTCACATAAGCTGGTCCTACTGGGCTATGGACATTTCTAGTTGTGTCCCTTATATGCCTACCCATCCTCGCAACCCATCCCTTCCCTCATTAAATCCACCATTTAAGCCCACATTTTCCAGCTGGGTCTTGTACCGTACACATTGGTTTCACTACAAGGAGAGATGAAAATCCCTATTGTACTGTTGAGAATAAGGTTTTTGCCAAAGTATGTCTACACATTGCAAGAAAACAAGTGTTACTGGAAGCACTTGGGTGTAACTGAGTGCAAGCCTGCACCCTGTTGATTTAAGGCGTTTTCAAACCAGGTTTTCCACTCCAAATTTATAGAGGAAAGGCTGTCATAAAACATTGTGACAGGGAAGAAAGACATGACGTGACAGCTAAATCCAGAGTTTCGTCAGGTTTTTGAAGACCTGCACTTCTGTCTATCTGGCTTAGCATCAGAGATGTGCCTCAAGTGTCTTCAAATTGCTTTGGAGGATCCTAGGATGGAGTTTACTTACCTAACTTTGAGGCCACCCGATACCATACGTCACATACAAAAAGAAAGGAAACAGTGAACACTATAAAATGTTCACAATAAAAGAAACAGAAATGTCAGCAAGATATAAAAAACCTACACTACTTCACAAGGTTGTTGTGAGGATATAAATGCAGAGGGAGAGAACCACCTTGAGACACTTGGAGGAAAGATGGGTTGTAAATGCTAAAAACAAAAGCAGGTGATAAAAATTTTCTGAGTACAGTGGTACCTCGGGTTACATATGCTTCAGGTTACATACGCTTCAGGTTACAGACTCCACTAACCCAGAAATAGTACCTCGGATTAAGAACTTTGCTTAAGGATGAGAACAGAAATCGTGCTCTGGCAGCGCGGCGGCAGCGGGAGGCCCCATTAGCTAAAGTGGTGCTTCAGGTTAAGAACAGTTTCAGGTTAAGTACGGACCTCTGGAACGAATTAAGTACTTAACCCGAGGTACCACTGTAGTTCCCAACATCAAGCCTTCCCAAAGGCTTGGATTAAAGTTCCTTGATGGAGACTGCCGGGTCATTGGCCAGCCTGCAGTCTAAACTGTAGGCACTTACACTCCTTTTGACAATGCGTCCAAAATTTAAGAAGGCTGCAGAAAAGTATAAAATTAAAGAAGTTGTTAGACCCATTTAGCCACTACAGTGCAATTTTTTATTATTATTTTTAAAATGCATGTTAATAATCCAAGTGCTCTTTCAGCTAAGCAGTCTGAAGAGCCTCAAGGAACAATGAAAATATTCTGATCATATTAACTTACAATAAGAGGAACAAAAAGTAACATGCAAACATGGGCGGGTGGGTGCTTGAGGCAGGCCTTTGAATTCAGTCAGAAGGCTATGCAGAGCAAGTAAACAGGCGAGCATCTTTATATCTCTGTGCTTCTTCCTCCATGCTGCTCTTCCAGCCCCTCCATCCCATTTTTTCCCCTCCCACCCAGTTTTCAGGGTGTTTTTCCTCAGTCAGCTTTCTACAGGCACTGGGCTTGCTCAATACCCATGAGGATGTTTGGAAGGAATATCCTCCCTGCTGCAGCCATCCATCCCTTTGTAGGGTTTGTATCTCTGAATATATCAGGGGTACCCCATGCCTGCTCCTACCTCCCATTTGTGCAAGTGCACGGCAATTCAGGCTACCTAAACAATGGCATTCAGATAACTGAATCAGAATTAGAGTATCATATTTGTTTTAGAACATTGCAAGTATTTTAAAAAAACCAAGTTTAGCTTGAAATACAAAAAGAAAACTCATCACAAGTATTAAAAATAAGAAATTTATGGAGGTGATGTACCAATTCATATTTTAAACTGAAAATTCAAATACCTATATATATGTTGCTGCTATCATAAGAACACAAGAAGAGTTGACTGGATCGGACCACCTAATCCAGCATTTTGTTTTCTCACACAACTGTGTGCAAAACCTTGAAGCAACTTGCGCTATCCTCGCTTCATTGCAACCCCTAACTAGAAAACTTGCTTTCATATCGACACTATCACATGGCTGAATCAGGACCAATTGTAAATCGCCTCACATTTAGTGTGGGAACAGGACACAGTAACATCCTGTAAGAACAGAAGCCAAAAGGTGACTAATCACCTGTGAAAACAACGTTAGGGACTGTTAAGGCATCAACAAGGCATGAGACACGAGATATTCTCTTGTGGGTCCTGGGGATAGTTGAGAAACTACGAAAGCAGTATTCTCAGAAACATTTACATCCCAAAAAGCGCTGCCATGCACAGTCCACACAACAAGTCCAGAGAGCAGTCTGAAGGCATATAACACAGTTCCGCTACTACTGGAACTAAGCCGGAACTATGTTGTTTTGTTTTTTGTCCTACATAGTTGCTTGTTTAACTACAAATTGCATTAGTGGGGAGAATGCCTTGCCCACCACAGGTGTACCCTTTCGAAAGCCTGACTTCATGACAGTGGAGAGGTGGGCAGTGACAACCCACACAGGATCCCCTTCCTCCACCACAGGAGAATTACTAGAATAAAAGTGTTCCAAGCTCCTTGGAGGAAGAGCAATATATACGGAAGCATTGCAGGAACCTCAATTATCCAGTTTCACATATGTCTGGCCTTGCTCATGGTACAGTATCACCTGCATACCTTAGCTGACTTGAAGCCATGCCATGCCTTAAAACCTGCTGTTCCAGAGAATCTAGATATTTCAAAAGAGAATGTTCAGGCAACAAGCCATCCACTTCAGCGATAAAACTTGCTGGGTGGAAAGAAACTCTTATTATTATTATTATTATTATTATTATTATTAGGAGCATAAGGAAATGTCAGTTCCATTATGTATTCACAATCCTCCAAATGTCATTTAGTTTCTTTCTGTCTCTCTCTCTCTCACACACACACACACCCTATACTGTCATCACTCAGGGAAAGGCATGAATTGCTTTCAAGTCTCAAGGCTCGCAAATGAAAACACATTGTTTCTTGCCTAAATGCGATTAACCTTCCCCTTCATACTTAACTGCTAAGGCAGCCTTCCAGAACCTGTTTTGGATTCCAGCTTCCATCAGCCCCCAGCCAGAATCGTCAATGGTCAGGACTTGGGGGGGGGGGCTGTAGACCACAACATCCAGAGGACAGCAGGTTGAAAAAGACTGCTTCTGTTATATATTTCCTGAAAGGAAATAGCTAAAAAAAACATGCACACCGCATTGCCCCCACACGTTGCTTGATCTGTTCTTCCTACACATAATCAGGGTGGCAAAGAGATTTCCATTATCCTTTGGAAGGTTTCCCCTATCGGGACAGGTGTGTGGGGTTATTGTTTTCTGTCCCTACTATACATTGCATCCCCCCCCCCTTATTTGCACAAGTTATCAAATGTTCAGAGAGCTAATTTAGGTAGATCTTCAACATTTTCACATCTTGGGCAATTTCTTTATTTATTAAGACCATATCTATACTATGGAATTGCAGAGTTCTGGACACTGAATCTTAGAGCCAAACTACACCTGATGTTCATAAATCTGATAGCTATGAATCCATGATTGTAAGTCATCTTGCTGGCAAAGACAACAACTGAGAAAGACTGTGTTCCTGGTAGTCACTTGCTCGACTGTGTAGCCCATGCATTTAAGAAGGCATAAAATATAGTGAAGGGAGTGCCTTCCTAGATATCAACCATGTCAGATAACCCTATGCTCAGCAGCAGATGCCTTGGTGCTGCTGTAAGCAATGGGTGCTCAGTTGGTGTTCACTCATTGCAGGGCCTTTTCAGTGGTGTTCCCCGTTTGTGGAATGCTCTCCTTTGGGAGATGCACCCATCTTTATCATCAGTAACTTTCAGGAGAAACTTGAAAACATTCCTCTTTATCCAGGCATTTGATAGCTAAAGAATACTGTTCCTGGCAACATTGAGACCACTGAGTGGAATCATATTTTTAACTCTATGCTTTTAGAATGTTTCAGACTGATTTTAATTGTAGTGGGGTTTTTAAAAATATCTTCATTTTTAAATTTTGGGTCTGCTTGTAACCCTGGGCTCCTTCGGGAAGAAGGGCAGGATATAAAATTCAATAAATAATAATAAATACTGGAAGGTGCAAAACAAAGACCATTGTTAAAAATGAAAATATGTACACTCAGGTGTTTGGTAAACTGCACAAAATGTTCTTTAGACCAGAGAGAGGTATTGGCAGAGGTGATATATATATATATATATATATATATATATATATATATATTATCACAGTGCCAGTAAATAAAAGGTTTTGGTAAAGCTTTAGTTTAATGGAACCACATTTCTTTTGTTTACGTAGAAATTTCTATCCTGCGCTTCTTAATACCTATGGACTACTCAAAGCAGCTCAAAACAGGGGTCAGCAAAAGGTAGATTGGGATCTATTGACAGATATCTAGGAGACTGGCAAAAGTTTCTGACTTCCAATTGTTTAACAACAAAGCTCTCCCAACCCCCATGCCCAACTAGGTTTATGAAAATGAAAGTTAAGGGGTTGGGAGGAGAATCAAGAGTAGGATCTTCATGTGAAAAATGTTGTGAGCTCATTTCTGGTACTGATCATACATTTATGGGCTGAGCATGTGCTCAGAGGGAGCTTGGTTCTAATTCTTTGAATCAGGTCCACCCAGTCGAGCCTCTATTTTGCAGCTGCCACTGGCTGAGCTACAGTAAAACAAAACAAAAAACAAAATAGAACCCTCAAGTGTTAAAACCTGCCAGTTCCTGCCTTACGACCCTTGGAAATCACAATATTCCCTAAAACAATTTCGACAGAAGCAAGGGCAACAGGAAAAAATGCAACCTTTATTTACCAGCTGGTGGTTATTTTTCTTTGGCTGTGGGGAGAAGCAAGTGGAATGCTGGAATGTGACCTGGGTTCAAGCCCTAGAAACACTTCCTGGATCTGACATGTTACTAACCATACATCACTGGGCAGATGAAAATGAATGAATGAATGAATGAATGAAACACTTTTGTTGAATTCAGAAAACACACCAAGCCATACTTTGTGGTAACTATAGACTAGAAACACAAACATACAACAAGTTCACTCCCCTGACCAGGATGCAGCATCTCTGCAAAAAGAGTGACGACTAACTCCTTTGCTCATGCGGACATCACACCAAAGTCCCTTCATGTCTTACTCATCTGAAGTGGACTCATCACATAAAAGCAGTCTCAGGCTGTGCATGTTGATGTCTGCATAGGGCGAGTCAGTGTCTGCGCACAAAGGCTTGCACACATTCAAAAACCCTATGGGCCACACACAACTAAGTCCTACTCAGAGTAGACCCACTGAAAGCAACAAACCTAAGTTAGTCATGCCTATCAAGAGAAGAAGAAGAAGAAGAAGAAGAAGAAGAAGAAGAGTAGTAGTAGTTTTCGGTTTGATACCCCGCTTTATCACTACTGAAGGAGTCTCAAAGCGGCTAACATTCTCCTTTCCCTTCCTCCCCCACAACAAACACTCTGTGAGGTGAGTGGGGCTGAGAGACTTCAGAGAAGTGTGACTGGCCCAAGGTCACCCAGCAGCTGCATGTGGAGGAGCTTCAATTGGTCTACTGTGAGAAGGACGAGCACTGAATACCACCCTGCATGATCAGGAGCCCAGAATGAGTGAGTGCCTGTGTGTGTGTGTAGACAGGCTTCCCCATAAAGACATCCAGACGATGCATGGATAGAGGGGTGTGTGGGCAGATAGCAATGTGACTTGGGGGGCAGTAGTCCTGGCTTGCTGTGCCTACTACTCATACAGCCCCTTTCACCCAAGTAACTTCTGAAGAGGGCTTGAATCAGAGTTGGCAAAAACCATGGTTTGAAAACAACTTCAAACCATAGCTTCTTATTCTGGTTTGGTGATCACTCATAAGCCTTCCCCCACCCTAGTTCAGACATCCACTTCGAACCAGTTATACTTTCTTAACCATGTTTTGCTCTGAGAAGAGTCACTGTAAACTGAGTGTACAATAGAAATAAGGTTAGTTCTTTAGAAGACCAAATATAGGAACTGAAGGTATTGTATTTCTTAAAGGAAAAATTCAAGAATGGAAAGACAAACATGTTTATCACTTTTAAGAAGCATGTTGTCAGGTTCAATGACTTTACCCAGACAAACAAACTGACAGACCACAGCATGATATTTGAGCATGAAGCAGCTACAAACACACACACACAGTATGGCTCAGTGATTTGGCATATGACTCGCACAAAGGTCTGCACCCATGAAACTGTGCCTTTGAATCCTGGAAGAAGGCAATCTAAGAAGACTGAGTTTTTCTAATGAAGTTCCCTTTCCAGAGGGGAAGCACAAACTGTATAGGGCAGAGGCATAGCTCAGTGAAAGAGCAATGTGATCTCCAGTAAAATAATATCAGAGAGCAGGACTAGGAAATACCTATTTTTCTAGAAAAATAGGTGCTGGTATGCACCATGAAGTTGTTACAGTAAGTGCTACATTTTTAACAATCAAAAAAGAGGTGCTGGTACTGTGTACCCTTAAGTACCCCCTGGGGGGAAGCACTGAGAATACCATTTTCTAAAATTTTGAAAAGCCAGTACTAGAGAGAGTTGATTCGTCTTTTTATTACAGAATGTTTGATTCCAAATCAATGCACAAGCAGTGAAGCAGTATACTGTATCTATCATTCCCACGGAATTCAGCTAACCTGATTTAATTCAAGACAGTCCCTTATATCCTAGATGGAATGAATCATCACACAGAATACTTCAGGTCCTCTGACAATTTATAGGTGCTAAAGTCCTTTGCCCCTAGGGTATGGGTTCTAAGAGTGAAAATAGCAAAAGGAAACAAACAACACTCATCCTATAAATTGAGAACTGATAATTCTCAGTCTTTCTACTTCAAAAATGGCCTACCTACCAAAAGTGATGATTCTGCTCCATTCTAGTAGCTACTTGAACCAAAGGGTGCACTCCAGGCTTGCACTCCTAAGCAGCTAAAAAGCTCAATATGGGAAAGCAGACTTCCACATCTCTTACACCAGGGATGTTGGAATTACCTAGATATTGCTGGACTCCAACTTGCAGCAGCAGCCAGTGCAGCCAACAGTCAGGGATAATGGGACCTGAGAGTCCAGCTGTATCCCATCCCTGTCTTATAGAATCAGGAACCATTGCTATAAACCAAATGTGGCTCAGAATACACACCCGTCTTCATCATATTGTTTCCAGTGGGATGCAGATTCATATGCACATTGAAATGCTCATTAGTCTTTTGACACGACTAGCCACGCATAAATGGTGGGGAGGGTTTTTAAGCATGACCAGAGCTAGATAAGGGTGATGTTTTCTCCAAGTGTCATGCATGCTGATTCAGCAGACATGCTTGTACATCACATGGAAACTTTTACCAAAATCTGGTAGCTAAAACAGCAAGCAGCAGCTTTCCTCAAGCTGAATTATCCACCTACTCTCTCAGGTCCTGGCCTGTTCTGTCCTTCTATTTCAGCCTCTGTCCTCTGTGCAGCTTGTCACTTAGCTTCCCTGTATCCCAGTTCTCAGACATACCCTGTGTTTCCACTTTAATCTAGGCATACCGAAAACCTTCTCTTCCCTCACAGAAACTGGACTGCAAAGGGCTTAGTTCCCCAAGAAACCACAGCAACTCAGCCAGTCGGTACCACAGGCTGTTCACCACCACAAATGTAGATGAGGCGGTACTTGATTCATAAACTTGTACAGTGAAAGGGGAAGTATCTACTGGTGCATTAAGGGGGGGAAACAGTGGCAGAAGGAGACTTACTTGAGGCCATAAAAATGCTTTCTGCCTATATCTTAAATCCATCTAAAGACCCTTTTCAGAACCACTGGTAAAAGCAGCACATATCAATACCATTGCTGCATCTATGGATTATATCACTCACTTATAATGAGGCCTTACTACAGACATACCCCAAGTATTTCAGAAGAGATGCAAGGTAATTTGAGCTGAGGTGGTTAAGTTTTAGTCACAGGGTCTGATTTATTTGTACTGTGTGTGTTTTTAAAACATAAAATAACCCACTCAGAACCTTTTTATTTGGGCAGGCTAACACAACCCCCCTCCAAAAAAACAACACCAAAAAACACAGCAGGAGACTAGGAATTTATAAAACAATGTTTGCAATAGTTCCTGTGTAAAGGGGATAGTGTACATGGTCTTCTCCATCTCATTGTAAATCCAAATGTTCTATTTTCCATGGTGAACCTGTGCATGGGCCAGTTCAACAACTATAAGCAGCCACCCTCATGGCCACATTAATTGAACACAATACAGCAATTGCAGAAATTCCCATCTCCACAGTAATACCTGCAAATGGAAGGTTGGTTCCAGCACTACTTTAGTGAGAATTAACCTTTAAGTATTAACCCGGGGGGGGGGGGAATCCATAAGTTAATTTACATCAGGAAGACAGGGGCTACCCAACAAGAGCCCAGTACCACTTTCACTATTCTCCTATATCTTGGGTCCCAAGTTTGTTTGCTCCTCATTTATTCTTTCCTGACAAGATGCTATTCTAAAATCTCATTCGTACCTGGCTGTGAAGCAGGACAGTTTTTGTTTTTTTTAACAAGGCAAACAGGCCATCACACAAATGGAAAAGCAGGTCTTGCAAGACTTGAGACTTAGGGCTGTGTTGGCAAGGAAGGCTGGCGCCCAGGCAGAGACAGCTGTTTTTCAGGTCCCTTTCCCTACCTAGCCAGCTCCTCGCCCCACACTTTCTCCTCTTGTCCAATGTGGTTCCATCCCAAACTAGCGAGCGGGGGGGGGCGGGGGCTTTTGCTAGCGCGCTCTGACAGAAGCCCATGCGCCAAAGAGACCACCGTCGGAATGCATTGATGCCGTCGTGAGAACGGGGGTCACGACACACTCCTTCCGAGTAAACCAGTCACCCGCGCTGGTAGGTGGCTCGAGAAGAGCACTAAGAGCGGAACTGCCCCCCCCCCCGTGCGAAGTTCAGAAGTTTCAGAAACGGCACTGATTTCAATGGGCCACCTCCCCCCCCCCCACTGCTGCTAATGGTTGCTCCCAGTCCCAGCCGAGGTGAAGGAACCTCTCGCGGACTCTTTCACCTTTAGGGTCGGGGAGGGGGGGAGAGGCGAGAGCGGCGCTCCATTCCTGACCCACCTGCGAAAATGAATCTCCCCACACACACACCCCAGCGGCGACCCCGCCGTCTCTTCGCCCCCTCTCTCGCTCACCTTCGGCAGCTCTCGGAGCTGGTTGGCGTCGAGCAGGAGCTCTTCGAGGCTGCGGCTGTAGCGGTAGATTTCCTCGGGCACGGCGGCCAGCGAGCAGTGGCGCTTGTCGATAATCTCCACATGACGGTTGCACCGCCACAGCGGGATGCAATGAAACATAGCAGCAAAGGCGGCGGCGGCGGCGGCGGCGGCGGCAACCCTCTGCCTGCCTCCCGCAGCCCAACCCTCGGCAAGCTGCGCGAGGCTCGCGCGGCCACTCGGGGCAGCGCCTCAGCCTCCCCGCGGCCCCCTGCCCGGCTCGGCTTCCAGTTCCAGCGCCAGGCGCGCGCGCGAGAGAGAGAGGCTTCTTTCGCCCTCAGCGAGCGCGGGGAGAGAGAGGAGAGGAGCACGGAGGGGGGCGGCTCCAAACCCGGCCCTTAGCAACCCTCGCCGCCGACGCCGGCTCCCCAGGCACGTCGCCTTCGCTGGTCTGCCAGCCGCCGCCTTCGAGGCCGCCCTCGCCTTCTCCTCTCCTCAGCAAGTCCCGGAGGAGGAGGAGGAGGAGGCGGCGGCAGCTCCTGCAAACATTCGCCTGGGACAGGAGAAAACTCTTTCCTGCCGCTCCAGACTACTACGCGCAGAAAAGAAAAGAAACAGAAAACCTTCCTGCTGCTTTTGTCTCTTATTGGGCCTCCGCTGTCCAATCAGTGTCCCCCCAGTTCTCCCAAGGAGCCCGGCTCGCTCGTCGCTCAGGCTGCAGCAGCAGCAGCAGCAGCAGCAGCACCTTTCTTCATTCCTGCGCCTGACCCGGAACACTCGCTGGCTCTGCGCTCTCGCTCCCTCCCTCCTTCCCTTCCTCCGTCGCGCTCTCCCTCTCCCTCCCTCGCTCTTCCCAAGCTGACATCACCAGCCGCTGGTCCCTCCCCTTCTCCCTCGCTGGGACTCTGGGATCTGACCTCGAGGTGGTGCGTGCGACACCCAAGCAAGGGAGAAGGGAGAAAGAACAAGCCCCTCGCCTCCGTCTGCTGCGGGGAGAAATTCCAGGGGACGGGGAGGAAGGGTGGCGAAAAGAAGAGGGAATGATTCCCACCCCCCGCTCTCCCAAAGTTTCCTGCCAGGGGTAGCTCAGTCGATAGAGCATGAGACTCTGAATGTCAGGGTCGTGGGTTTTGAGCTCCATGTTGGGCAGAAGATTCCTGCATTGCAGGAGGTTGGACTAGATGACCCTCGTGGTCCCTTCCACCCAGTGCCTGGTTTACCTATAAGCTAAACAAGCTATAGCTTAGGGCCCCACTCTCTTGGGGGGGCCCAAATAATTTAAAGGGGGGAGGACTTGATGTACATTTCCAAAATATAAGTTAAAAAACAAATAAAAACCTACATACAGGAACAGTGCTTTGTGTTGTGTAGGCTCCTACAGTGGTACCTCGGGTTACATACGCTTCAGGTTACAGACTCTGCTAACCCAGAAATAGTGCTTCAGGTTAAGAACTTTGCTTCAGGATGAGAACAGAAATCGTGCTCCGGAGCGGCAGCAGCGGGAGGCCCCATTAGCTAAAGTGGTGCTTCAGGTTAAGAACAGTTTCAAGTTAAGAACGGACCTCCGGAACGAATTAAGTACTTAACCCAAGGTACCACTGTATTTGTTATGTTCAAATGGCTTTAGATACCTATTAGGTCCGTAAATTACCATATAGCATATATTCGACACAAAAAACAGCGACAATTTGTTGTTGACAAAGGACAGTTGGACATATAAAGGGCCCCATTACCTTCAGTAGCTTAGGGCCTCATCAAACCTAAATCCGGCCCTGCTTCCACCTCTGTGATTCCTCTTTTGTGGAGAAAGATTCCACCAGTCACATGTGGACTAAGAGGACTAGACTAGTTCCCTAAATACTCCCAGTACATTAGAGTGTTAAAGTCTGGCACTTCCTTCCCCAAGTCTAGGATGCTTCTGCCTGGCTTAGGGAGGGAGGTGTGATGCTGACACCTGCAATGTCACATGCTAACAACATTGCCTGCCCCCCCCCCATCGCCCTCGCAGGCTGTCGCCTCTGGCCCTAACTGTTCCCCTACAAAATAAAAATTTTGCCACTGGATTCGACTCACATGGCATCCCAGCCAGCCCCCTCCACACTCATTCTGCAAATCAAAGTCAGGGAATCAAAGGTATTCTGCAAGGCACAGCACCCTTCTCTGCCCACCATACTTGGAATTAAGTTGCACAAAGGAGAGCAGCCCTGATCTACTATGAGACTTGCTTTTTCCTTTCTCATAGATGAGGAGCCTAAGGTGCTCCAGTTGTCAGCAGCAGCCAGCACGGCCACATCTGGAGTGCCACTTCATCGGGGTGGGTTAGGCTGAGACCAAGGGGCCACCAGTTATGTCCAGGCTTGGTAGTAAAAAATAAAACCCCACTAGCCAGAAGAAATATAGTAAAAGTACCTCTGTGCTCACACAGAATTAAAGAGACAGGTTTCTAGGAAAGATGTTGTTGCTCCTACACAAGTCTGAGTCCCTACATGTATCTAGAAATGCAACACGATCCCCACCTCCCTAGCAAATATGCATAATTAGAGAACACAAGCTGTCTTGCCCAAAACTCCCGACTCCATCCCCCAACTTTCACGCTCTTCACATTAACAATACTTAAAATAAAAAAACCCTCAAAGAAAAAATATTTTTCAACTCTCTTGCCATAGATATAATCTTCATTCCATGACCAGACCAACATCACCAAATAAGCTTTGCAACTGAACAGGGATTTGAACTCGAGTTTCTCCAGTCCAATGGGATGCGGGTGGTGCTGTGGTCTAAACCACAGAGCCTAGGGCTTGCCGATCAGAAGGTCGTGGTTTGAATCCCCGCGCCAGGATGAGCTCTCGTTGTTCGGTCCCAGCTCCTGCCCACCTAGCAGTTTGAAAGCACGCCAAAAGTGCAAGTAGTTAAATAGGTACCACTCCGGCAGGAAGGTAAACAGCGTTTCCGTGTGTTGCTCTGGTTTTGCCAGAAGTAGCTTAATCACGCTGGCCACATGAGCCGGGAAAACTGTCTGCCTCGGCCAATAAAGCGAGATGAGCGCCGCAACCCCAAAGTCGTCCACGACTGGACCTAACGGTCAGGGGTACCTTTACCTTTTACCTTCTCTAGTCCAAGTCCAAGGCATAAGCAGCTACAGTACACACCCTCTTTGAAGGAATTTAAGCAGTATCACTGTGTGTTACGTGCTTGTACCATACATATCTAAAGAACACATACCGTCCCTCTCAAAATCTGATTTGTTGCATATCTAATTCGCATGCACCTCTTTTTCAAGGTATTTCTTAGTCAGCATCCTGTGTTGGTGATATGATAGCCAGAGCTTCCCATATCTGGAAGTACTCACAGACCTGTCTTAATGAGGTCCTTCAAAGGAAAGTAATTGCATTGGCAGAAGCTCATCAACACCTCATAGTCTGTTTGAGCTACAGACCTTGAAACTCAAGTCTGTTGTCAAAGTGTTGCACAGGGGGCTTCTAGGTCCTAATAATGTGGCTGGGATTAGGATTAGTGCCGGCACGCCTTCATCCTCCACTATCACATTGTCATATGACTCATGCAAGGCCTTGTGCAGTGCGATTGCACCAGGTTAGCTGCAACGCACTGACTCATTGCAGAAGTGTCTATGTCTATATCGTATTGCATGTAACGAGTCTCTGCCAACGAACAGCTAAAACGACATGATGGCATAGAACATTCCACTGCTAAGGAAAGTAAACAGCTTTGCCGTCTAGCAAATATGAGGGAAATGAATGCTGTCAGTTCATCTGGGGGATGGCTGAGGACTGCATATGGAAGTTAAGGGAGAAGTTGCACAAAAGGAATAAGGAAGAGGACCCTGAAGGATAAGTAGATAGAGAATGAGGCTCCTTGCATTCTGCTCCACCATTCCCAGAGGGGACAAGACACCACTACTTGGGCGCATCTCCTCTGTAAATTAAGCTGCATCCTAATTGCTTCTGGGTGGCAGGAGGCATGAGTGAAGCAGACAGCGTTAACCTTCACTTTTGGTGCTTATATTGACTCCTGTTAGGTGAATTTAATTACCGTACGTCCACATTTTAGGTAGTTTAGGTCAGCCCACATTCTCAAAAGGAAGGACATACTGCAGCTTTGTTTATTCCTCCCTTTGCCCTTCATGCACCCATTTCCTACCCTTGACATGTCCCTAAAGTTATTTATCCAAAAGTAAGGCTGAAATCCTATACATAATTTTCTGGGGGTAAATTATGATGAATTCAGTGGAGCTTACTTCTGAGTGTACATGTACAGGATTGCACTATAAATCTCCCTGAGTTCCATGGGGTGTGCTTTGAATTGCAGGACCAGTAAGATTTTTATTAGTTTCAATTAACCAGGATAAAGTTCTGTATCTTCTTTATATTTCTAACGATGCATGCATTGAAAAATGTAAAGAATAATAAAAGGAAAGAAGCAAAAAAGTTTCCCAGTAGGGTATGTATACACTTTTTGTTTTTGTATTCCTCCAAGTACTGAAAAACAAAAACAAACACACACAAAAATCAGTCACAAATCCTGAGAGACTGAACTGATCTCCTTATAGATAGGCAGCCCAATTCTCAGCTTGCTATCTGAAAGCTGTGGGAGAGGAATGGGCATAATCTCAGCCATCACCTGCCCTTTGTGGAAAATTGTTAGAAGAACTCCTTTCTTCTCTCCTGAAAGGCATGCGAGGAATGCTGAGCTTGTTTGTTATATAAAGCCAGTGACATAATATAGAGAGGGAGCTTTAAAATTTGACCAGTCAACAAGAAGCAATAAATGAATAAAACTCATAGTTATTTGTCAAAAGTGAGGATGGGGCCTCTGCCTCAAAATTTTCTGGAATGCAACTGAATGCAGCCCATGAAACACATGCAGATGTTGCTCAAGACATCAGCTGTTGATTTGAGGCTGAGTCCACATATGGTGGCATTTCGAAGAGTTGCACTCAGTGTATAGACCTTTTATTGCCTGCAGTGTTACAATGAATATTCCAAAAATTGGTAAATATTCATATTCTGCATGTTTTGGCTGACAATCCTAGATGAATTTTGCAATGTCTTTGGAGATATACACCAGTTAATTCTAACAATCATCTTGATATTACAATCTTAATTGTCATGTCTTCTCAGAAGCAAATACTATCAGGTTTAGTCTCATGTAAGAAGCTATAGGAATGGAGCCGAAGATGAGAGTCAACATTAATTGCTCTCTTCTCTCTCTCTTTTTTTCTCTCTTTCTCTCTTTCTTTTGGACCGTTAAAAATTTGACTAGTCTGTCAAGAGTCAAATCTAGAGGTCATCACATTTCAAATGTTCAGTAAAAATATTCATGCCCCAACCAAGCCCTGCTGTGGTCACTGGCTAAACTGATTTTGTACCTGCAGTGCTCTTAAAAACAAACAAACCCCTGTACAGTATTTAAAAAGACCCAAACAGCACAATCAGGATTTCTACAACAGACACATGCATATTTTAATATAATAGTCATGGGTACCTTTAACTCAGCCTATTAATTACTCAAATTAATTGCAAATTATAAAAATCAGTAATACAAATATATCTGCTCTGCAGTCAACATTTTCAAAATAGATTCAGACTTAGATTTTTTTACCAGTCTCCATGGCATAGTCATGCTCTGATTTTTATTATTATTTACAGCAGCAGCAGCAGCAAGAGCAAAGGCTTCCTAACCCACATGTACGTAGCAGTTTTGCAACTATCCTAGAGCACCTGTTTTGCATGCAGAAAGACCTGTGTTCAATTTCCGGAGAAACCACTGTCAGAAAACTGGGAGAGCTGCTGTCAGTCAGTGCAGAAAAGGCTGAACTGGGTAGACCAATGGTTTTCCCCCAGCATAAGAGAACTTCCTGTGTTCTAACTAAAGGAAGGGTGTCCATGTATCTGCCTAAAGCACTCTCTTCTCCCTTTCAGCAATGCCTTGCCATTCAAGAACATTTTCTTCTCCATCCTTGGGAGCATGGGATTGACAAGACCAAAAAGATCCTTGCAATTCACATTTAGTCAATATTCCCACTGTACTTTTTGTGTGGAACCTGTGAGACTACAAGTGGCTACAGTTCCTGCCAGAACCCTTCTCACCTTCCCTACTGTATCTGAGCAGTTCTCAGACTTCCAGTATGA